TTTACACTTCTTTTTCTTTTCGAAAGTGGCCAGGGACTTCTCTCCTGGCTCCTAGCTGCTAGGCGGTCGTTTTTGCCTGAGGAATACCACCACGAAGGAGTTTTAGCACACAGGTCTCTGCAGGTGTAGACCTAGCGAAAAGGGCATTCTCCAACTGAAATTTTAAATCGATATGAAAGGCTATTTTCAGCCTTTTATCTCTTTTCCACGCGACATATTTTGGTTAAAAGATGATAAGTAAAATGGCTGAGGCATTTTAAAGCATTTTTTCATTTAGGAGACGGAGTTTTGACGTTATGAAAAAGAACTTGTCAGTGAATTGGTTTATTTTCTAGCCTGCGAACAAGTGCCGGGGGGTGATGGCGGAGAGAGAGCCAGGTGACTGTTCCTTTTTTCAGGAGGGAGCTAGCATGTACGTGCATTCTGGTCTAACGCCATAATGTGTTGACTGGCCTTTAAGGGGCGGGGGATCAGATCGTCAACAGCAGGTTGACGTCTAGCCAGAAGATACCCTTGCTGCAGACGAGCAAAGCAATACTACTTTCAGTAATTTAAACATGTTAAATACTTGTATTTCGCTCATCAAATGTGTCCATTGTCCATTGTCGATTTGTGGTTTTTCAGGAATGTTCTTTTGCGGAGCATTGGCCAATTTTTCTTAAAACAGTTTTACTCGTTTCCATTTCCCTGCTCTACCTTCATGTTGCATATGGCGTACGTGTGTACCTAAAGCCCTCAATTCATACTGAGGTGATCAATAGAGAAGTCTATATGCCAAGGAGGGTTAAGATTAGTTTATTAAAAGCAAAGGCTCAGAAGGCTAAGCGCAAATAAAAGAAAACTAGTGTGAAAAGTTTTGCAGACTCGGCTTACTCTATTTGTTTTCTTTCTCTGTCTGACTTTCGGCTTGTACATCCTAAAATCAAGTTTAGTTCGACCTGATTTGGGGAATATAAAATATAAAAATAATAAAAAAAACCAGTGTTAATTGTCATTTTATTTTTTCTTGTACGCTCGTGCGATGATTTATCCTTGTCTGTACAGTTGCGTGACAAGACTCAAATCACACACGGGCTTTCATCAGGCAATACATGGTTTAGTCCGTGGCTAAACGACGGAAGATTTCAGTAAACTGCGGCCACTTGCAGTTGAAACGACTGTGGTAAGTAAATTCTTATAGATCTCGTATCTCATTTAGAGCTAGCAAGCCGTTTCCAGCGGCTTTATTTTAGGTGCAGAAACTCGAGGTCAATATTTACACTCAACACGAAATTAGCAGCGTTGTCTTTTTCAGCTACTTGCGTGCAATCAAATGCAGTGTTAATCTACTTGGTTGTTTTTTATAACCATCAAATTGAAAAGCGTTTTTCAAAAGATTTTAAGAGCTTCCCGTAATGTGCCCCTTGTAAAAGAAGCTAAGTTTGCGAAAACGTTTGTGTACTGCTTACACTCGCGGCTAGGTTGTTGCAGCTTTCAAATGTGCGAAACTACCCTGCACGTTTCGGTGTCTCAGCGACGCACTTTTGTAATGTCGCCAAAAACTTTTTAACACAAGAAACGGCAAAGGATGTGCTTTAAAATAGTGTTTGTTCCATGTTGAAATTCTATGTTCCAATTGGATTTTTTTGATGGTGAAGTTAGGTCAAATTTGCCATTTTTGAAAAGAGTCGAAATCGTGTTTCTTCTTGCGGGCGACTCGGTCACATTTAAACAGCTTATCTGAAGATAATTGCTGAATTAGAAAGTACAAGTCTGTGTTTGCTTTGTGACGTGATTTCATTGAGAGATATCATCCCGTTTTTACGTACGAACGTGAAGAAAATGCTTAATTTTCGCTAATTTCATACTCGAAAGAGCGCCGATTTAGCGTTTTTCAAACTTTGCCCGATTCAGGAAAAAAGTAAAAAGCCGTTACAAGTTTTAATGTGATTTTTCAAATAAGTGTAACATAGAGATTATTTGGGCAAAATATGAAGAAATTCAAAAATTCACGACTGTCAACCGATTTTCGAAAATTACAGACACTGGCTCTTAAGATACACTGTTTCTGCCTAGGGGTATGGGTAGGCGAATATCTTTGCCATGTTAGTTATAGAAAAGGCGACCATTATTTCCCAGATGTGATAATGGCGTTACAGTTCTACCCGGTAGCCTACCAGTTTCTCCGGGATAAGAGGGAATCTACCCGTATCTACGGCTACGCGTACGGGTAATTTAGCCCTACCCGTACATGGAAATGGTGTATCTTTAGGTCTTTATTATACGGGCTCGTAGAGGTAGAGCAAATCATGAGTTGCAAAGTTACATTATCACCACGACATTTATTGCATCTCTTACATTTTGAAAATTATTATTGTTAGTAAAGTTTAGAACTGAAAGAGCTCTTAAAAGTTACACTGATTCGACAGTAATACGGAAAAAACAATTATTTTTTAAATAGGCCATTTCCCAGTTCCAAAACCTCTCATTTTCAAATTTAAACGAGCCTAAGTGCAAAATCTAAGTGCAAATCCACTTTAAAGTTGAGCGAGGTTCAACTTTCACGTTTACGCGCGACCTTCCATAGTTACACTTCCTCTATTTTATTTACTCGCGTGCGCACGTAAAAATGACGCGGCAGTGGAAATCCACCTTTACCGAAATTATAGTGTCCGCATTAAATGCACACAACTGAAATTTTCCAACTACAAATATCATTTTTCTCAAAAATTAAAACGGGTGGATCTTGACTGTTTGTTTTTTTATTTATTCTTAAGTATGGCAAAAATATAATGTATCCATCCTTTTTTACCATAGCCACGATTAGCCACAAGCTTGAAACACTTTCTCATGGAAAGCCAAAATGACTGTAAACGCACTTGAACGGAAACACGGACAAAGATCTCTTGTTTCCATATCTGAAGGGTACCACCAACTTGTTATGGAAGGACACTTTGTACCCGATGTTCCTGGTCAAATAAGACAAAATTCACAGTTCCTTTGTTGTCGAAGGAATCTGATGCTAATTGCCTAATAATAACGATTGACTTGCCCACTCAGTTAAAGCTCTTGAAATACTTTTTGTGCAGACGTTGCTTGATAAAAAAGCAATAAATGATCATAGGCCCCTCTAGGCTACTTAAAAAAACTGAAAAAAAAAAATGAATGAATGGAAAACAAAATAAATAAATGAAAAATAAACTGAAAAATCTAGCTCCGAACACTGATCTAACGCTCTCAGAAAACTGAGTCGCAAAATTATTCTACTCAGGCTTCAGCATGATCGCCTTCAATTTTATCTTGACTATACATTAGGCTGGTTTTTAGGCTGTTATATGTTTTGCCTGGCCCCTCTCGTGCTTAGAAATATTATCGAATCATCCCACACTAAAATTTTTATTTCTCGTTACCTCTACTTTAAATTTTAAATTTTTTTTTTTATCACAGCTGTCAGTCAGGGCTTTCAACGCATGGGTTCAAGGGCAAGAATATGTTTAGCAAAATGAAGTAGTTATCAATACATGATGTATTTGATAGATTCTGAGATTCTGAGAAATTAGCTCCAAATTATTCATCTCTTAGTCAGTGAGTATATTTTTACCTCCGAACTGTTCCACAGCCTTTCAGTGGAGCCTTTATAATAACACTGTTCTTGGTCACATAATTCACGCCACAGCTGGGATCGTTAAGATGAAGCAAACTGGCATCTGCTCTCAGAGGCAAACTGTCACGTGCTATGTGGGCCACCATGGCAGTGGGAAAGCATGAAATAGTAAAGGCAAACCTGGGTCCTACGAGTAAAAGAGTGATAAACAAGAAAAAAAATCGCGAATCCATGAAAACGGCGTCTCGTGTAATATCATATTATCTATCTCTAAATGTATTCTTTTAAGATTTAGTGCTAAAATAAATATTTCTCTTGACGTCGTTGTTAACAAGGCATTTGAGGAGATCAAAATTCAAAATTGAGTTTCTGTGACGTCGTATGACGTCAGAATTGTTTTATAGTTATTCACGTAACATTCTTAGCTTAGTTAAGCTTTAAAGGGAGCTTTTAGCGTTTTTGCCTCATTTTCGCTGTCTTCGTCGTCACATTTCCTTCAGTTTCCTAACAAAACAAAAAACGGCATAATCTCTTTAGCTCTGAGCACTATTATTGAATGAGTTTTAGATACTTACTCGTTGGTGAAGACCAAGGGGTGGGCATTGCTATAAAAAATTCGACAAAGTAGAATTAAATTAAAATTTCGTGCATAATACAATAAAATTGTTGTTAAAAAAGTAATAAACACAAACGTCTTATAAGCACAGGGTTTAATATTTGTAGGGTTTTGGGTGTAGCTATAAACTTCCTATAGCTCGATTAATGGGATATAGACTTAATTATGTTAGAAACGTAAACTGGACAATCATGAGCTTTGCATTAAAAAGTCTAATTGTTGATTGCAATGGGTTGAGATAGGTTAACAGTACATATAAATTAAATGTAACCAGGAAGATGTTATTCGTTAAGTGGCAGGAAAGAATAGTCTTCACCAAGAATGTGCAGAGGTCTCAGAAATTATACAGTTGCGTTTAATTACAACCTCTAAAAACAGTGCATGTCCCATTATATTTTCTTGTCTTCATCAATTAATCTGTCGGAAGATTAAATTAATCAGCATTGTTTTCCTTTCCGCTTAAGTGAATTAGTGTGATTTTACTTACTCCATGGTGAAGGCCAAGAGGTGGACACTGCTGAAAAGGTAGAGCTGAATTAACAATTACTTAAAACAATAAACTAATTGTAATGGCACAAACGTGTGAATAGTGCATTTGAGAGATTAATATTGCAAGTTTTTGGGATGTGGCTGAGTTAAAGGTACTGTTAAAATCGAGAAAATAAGTACCAGAAGGGTATGATATGAGTAGGTTAACTCTGTAAAGCCTTGCTGTTTATTCTTACCATATTTACCTCCTGCTTTCTATTAGAAGAAGAAGCAGTGAATGTACGATATGTACTTACTACTTTCTGGCCCCTTACTTGTTGGCGACGACGTATGCGTTGATGTTGGTGAAGGCGGTTCATGAGATTCGGAGTACTCTGCTAGAAAACCTCGATCTGGTGTGAACGACGAATAGAATTTAACAAACATTTGGTTACCACTTGAGATCATTGCTGTGAGCTCCGAGTTGGTGCACAGACGACCCAAGGACGACGAATTTGCCGTAGGACCATCGTAGAACTCCAAGCGGCTACAAATATTAGAGCTGCAATCATCGCATAGGCCCATCTGAAAATCTATGATTTGTACCTTTACACGTTTTCCAAGAGATGCAGTAATGATCCAGAAACAAGTTCTGCCTGAGGGGTAGTTCGCGACAGGGTATTTGAGGCTGCTGAATGATCCATTACCAGACAGCTGGATAGCAGCCGAAGGGCATTCTAAAAAAAGATCATTTCTGCATTCATATATTTCACTTAATGAAAAACCAATGGCTACCAGTGGCTATAGTTCATTTATTTAAACGAAATAAAGGGTTTACCAAGTGGTTCTCAGTTTCTTACGTTGACTCAGGGTGATAGTGCCTTTCTGGTGAAATTTAAATAATTTGAGCAACTTCTTGTTTATACATGAGACAACTATTTTTTTAAATACCTGAACCATTTTCTAATAATAATAATAATAATAATAATAACGAATATTCATACAGGATAGCCCTTCAGTGCAAGAGCACTGTTATCAAAGGGGTCCTTTCAAAATAACATAATATAAGGATAAAAACTAAATTAAGATAAGAATGACTACGCAACTAACTAACTACACTATACAAAAAATTGATCTAAAGAGTCCCTAAATAGTATCCTACAGCTAATTTGCTTGATTAACACGCTGCTGAGAAAGAAACTATTGAAACGCCACGGTTACATCGAACATAAAAATTTGGTTCAAAATGGATTTGAAATATACAACAACAACAACGATCTATATTTGCATGACCATACAAACACATACAGTATTGCAAAAGCTATGTTTAGGATTCAAAATTACAACACAGGGAAATTACGCTACTTTGATAATAATTTGAAATAAGAAAGACATACCTGGAGGGGTGAAGTTTAGCTGAGTGTAAGTTGCTGTAAATCCTCTATGTTGCTTTGAGGCTATACGATCAGCAAAGAACCTAACACTAAGGCGCTCATTGGTAGAATAATATGTCTGAGGAGTAAATGAGTCATCAACACATAGTTTCCCACTTGCAGCACCTGGTGTCAAACTCGAACCCAGAAATCCATGCCGAATTTCCAAATAATCACACGTACAAGCTCCCTCTGATCCACATCTGTGAATTTGCATGTCTGTTATTTCTAACTTAACATGCTTGCCTTTGCTTGCAGTGATTTCCCAGAAACAGTTTTGGTTAACTGGATACTTCCTTGGATAGAATGGGCTGCTGATAACACCTGACAGTTTCGTCACGTTCAAAGCTCTTGGGCACACTTAAAGATAAAGTATATGATTTTCATTTACTTATTATTTCATCGTCGCTCGTCATCAATTTATAACGAGCCAACTCAAAGACTACCCGCTGCCCAGCGGGGATAATCCGGATTTCAAGTGACACGGATGATCCAAGGACTTTTTGGGGTTTGAAATTTTGATTTTGGGATTTTTTTGGGTAGGAAAATTTTGTTAAGAATTTTTTCGGGTAGCTTGATTAAACTACAGATTTTCTTGGGTATTCAAAACAATCTGAAAATTCGTGATAGCTCCCGCGTGATACTTCCGTGATTAAAATAAAAACAAAGCTGTTTTGCGACTGTCTCTGAGTTCTGGAAATTTTTATGGCTCGGAAATTCGGCATGCATGGGATTTTTCGGGGGTTAAATTTTGATCCAGGGATTTTGGGGGGGGGGGTTTGTTTGAAGCCCCTGGGATTTTTTTGGTTTTGATTTTTGTCCCTGGTCGATCATCCCTATCTCTTGAAATCCGCGGTAAGCTCAATTGGTAGAGTGCTGCACCGCCCATGATCCCAGAGGTCAAGGGTTTGAATCTTGCACGAGCTTGAATTCAGTTTTAAGACTTCTGTTTTTTGCAGCTGCAAAAGCTGTGTCATTGTTTCAAAGTTAACTATAGGAACTGTGGGGATTTTTTTGTAGTTCGTTTGCTCTAATCTTGGGGACTACCTTCCTCCAGTTCTTTCTGCAGGAGGCCATGGGGGTTTAAACCTTCCTTACATGGATTTTAACTGCGATATGCACCATCTCCAAAGCTGGGATCCTTTCGTTAGCACCACGGATTGAAATCTATGGGCTGGCTACGAGACATTCTTCGCGGCCTTAGATATTTTAAATAGATGCTCTTTGTGAATTAAATGTTTCTGGGAATAAATTCTGTAAAAAATGATAATCATTTATTAAACGAAAATATGTAATAGTAGGATATGATGATGATATGAAAATATGTAATAGTATGATATGACGGGACCTGTGAACAAAGACTATAGGAACTTACGCATGTCATTAGTAACTGTCTCATACGAAGCGTTGAATCCTGGGAGTGCATTGGTGGATGTTATCAATGTAATCTGAATGGAGCTTGTATCTGAGTACACAGGATCAGGTATTGATTGGCCACACAGCCGGAATGGACTGCGGCCATCATCTGACGCAACATTCGTGATTATAAGACTGGCGCCACCAAAATTTGGGCCTGAACAATATGTGTTCTGACCTTTCTCTAAAGTGAAATTCAAGAAGGACAACTTGACTCGCCCACTTGGAACTGTGATAGTCCAAACACATATCTTTTGTGGATCAAAGTTGTTTGGAAAGTTGGGGCTTGCGACAAATCCACTTGATGACCCGCTGATGGTAACTCCAGCTCCACCACAGGCTACAACATTCAGTTCGAAAAAAAAAAAAAATTCAACGAATGATCAACGTCACCTTAGATAAAAACTATGGCAAAAGCAATGAAGACAAAACTGCTTTGAAGTGATCACTTAATTTTGTAACTGTGCATGTTATTCAACAAAGCAGCGTAATCTACGTATTATGCCACTTAAATGCTGCAATACGCCCGATATGAAATTTTGAACGCTGCTGAACGTTGCTGAATTAGAACAGTTCAACAACGGTTCTATTCTATTCACACAAGTTGCAACTTGTTTAACTAACGCCAGCTTCACAATCAAATGTTAACAGAACTAGCTTTAGGGTATTTAATCTAAAAGAAATGGAAATTACTCTTTTCATTATTATCCAGCGTAATAGGCTTTTTGCAATAGTTAGTCACGTGATCAACTTTTCTTTAAACATGAAAACAGTTCACTTTTGGAATATTTTGTTTGCGGGAACTGAAAGAGCATTTTAAAATTAAGTAACTGTGAATTTTAAGACGTATATCTCAAAAAAAACGATTGCAACGCCCGCCGAAAATTACCCAGTCACACTTCAGTGGCTTTTTATAAAAATCCTCGTAAATTTCGAATTAGTAATAAACAGATGTCAAATTAATCATAAACAGTTAAAGCAGTCATTGTCATCCCGCGCCAAATAATTCCACATTTACTGTGTCTGATATAGTACAGTATTTGTAAGACAGTTATAACTTAAGTGGCTGGGGCCAGGCTCCATGATAGCAAAAAAAAGGGTGAGTAAAGAGAGCCGAGCAGCTCTGCGAACTGGAGAGGGGACAGTTAAAGCACCTTAACCCCTCCCCAGACTACCGCTCGGCTCGTTTTGCTCGCCGATATTTCCCCACTGCGGATCCTGGTCTCAGGACAATAACTTACGATCTTGAGATTCCACAGCATCCAAGACAGCAACTGAAAATGAAGAAAAGGAAATTATTATAGTAATTATGCAAGCATTTTAAAGGCCTCAAAATTGCTCAAAAGCAATTTGGATGGTGCTGTGGTGTGAAACGTGATAAGATTTGTAAAATAGCAAGAATTAGGTAATCTACCCTCTCCCGAGCCTAGTATGCTCATTAAAGCCACACTGAATGGCCAAGCCAGTCACTTATTTCACACTGCACAGCAGCAGTCAATGTACGGCGAAATAATTTAGAGACTTTAAAAGTATCTTATATCGTCTATTAATTGTCTATTAATCAATTATTAACAAAACTTTTAAATTTCAGATAATAATTATTTCCTTATTTTTTTCCCTACCATTGTACGGTTGAATGGGGCTGGAGGTGGGGTTGAGGGTAACATACGTTCATGATTTTCGTCACGAACAGAGTATAATGAATGCATATTTCTATCATGAACGTATTGCCTTAATTTGATTGTTTTAATTACAAGGCAACAGGATTTTGGGCTCCTTGAAATAACAACTTTTCAATATAGCTAGGATTCGAGACTTTTCTGCGACACAAATTAACAAAACCGTTCTTCTTATTTCTCGAAATGTACGTGGTAAATGTGAATAGCGTATGCGCATCCACTGAACAAATGAACCAGCAGTAACAATCCAACTAGGAAATACAATCTTACGAAGAGATTGGAACTGAGAAAACCTAAAACGATTTGAAATAAAAGACGAAAACTGAAAACATCATTAAAGGAGAAACTCAAAGGAAGTAGACAAAATGCACAAACACTAGAAATTCTGTTTAAGGTACGTAAGCATGGAACAGTCTATGTAAAAAAAAAAAAAATAATTAAACACAATTTAAACCAATATCTACCTCCCAATTTTAGGGTTAATTATTTAAGTCATCTGCAAAGAATCTTTTTGCTATTTGCTATTTCCGGGCGGAGACGGCAAAATGATGTGTATGAAAATAAAGTATAGTGTGTAAAACAGACTTTTAACAGACTTTCCATGAAAATGGATCACTATTATCTGTACGCATGATAGTGCTGTAGAAACTTAATGTACAGGATGAATCGCACCATGGAATATCGCGAGCTAATTTGAAAGGCAGTCTTTCAACATAAAGAAAATCTGTTTTGAAAAAAGTAAAGACATTTACCATGGGATGAGATGGACCACTGGAACAAAACAAGTAGCAAAAGTGCCTGCAAGCGCATCGTTCTGAGTTGACAGGATACCCCGCACGTACAGAATGATATATTACTCTAAGATGCTATCACATAAATCTACTGAGAACTTTCAGTGATTCAATATTCTACCTTCAACCCTAAAAAAGCGGGTGTAAGTGGGGTCATCGCTGAGCTGTTCCAGTCAATCCTTTTAACGTTTTCTTTTTTCACCCAAAATGCACGATATTCTAAGATGCCTCAAATAAGATATGAGCTATTATTAGCTGTTTTCTTAAACACTTGACAAGGTATAATCATTCTAGCTCATTCTCATTTGCCATATTTTGAAACATAACGAGTGCTCTTTCAAAACAATGCAATACAGCGTACACAAACATGTTACCGTTTTATCATACTAAGATTTATATTTAACTAGTAGTTTGCACTGATATGCATACATAATTATTTCAAACAAGCTACCTTGTTTCAATTTTAAATTTTGTAGAGAAGGGAAGAAATTACTAGTGGGGTAAGATGGCTATTTCCTTTCATATAAAATGACTGCTTTACAACAGGATGTTTTTTTAAGTGTCCCCACCCCCTCCCCCCAGCAAAACAAACAACCAGACAAACAAAGAGCTAGGTCAATTTTAGTTTAAAATCACTCCCCAGGAGTTAATTTTCGGGGAGGGTGCGGGGTTTGCGCACCCCCACCCCTCCCTCTGAGATGACCTGCGCCTTTCTAATACAACTGGTATTCTGCAAAAAAAATTCGTTGTGGTTTATTGGTGTTGAAGTAAAACATGAGACGAGGTTGAAGAATTTATGTTAAACGCCGTAAAAATGGTAGCTAAAATGGTATTTTCTTAGTGGGGCACCCCCTCCTAAGAAAAATCCTGGATAAAAATAGTCCCGAACTATTCCTATGGTTAAAACTAGCATAAAACTACTTATTTTTGGGTAGAAGCAATAAAGAGTAAACGGAAAATAAGAGGGAAACTTGGTCACTGGGTACAACTTCACGTCTGCCGTTGGGTTGTGAATCTCTTAAAATCTCTCTGAAATCTTAAGGGGGCGAGTAACTGGAAAAACTAACGAAAATGGACTCTACTGCTGTGATACAGTCCCCAATAGAACTAATCGCGGAAAATATGAGGAGACAATTTGATAACGGAACCAAGTTATCCCATAAAGTCGTGATATCCGAGAATTTCATCCGTAATGGCTGATCAAGTGGGGCACAAACGTATTGCTCAACCAAGTTCTGAAATACATTTAATACCCACATATAAGAACCTACATTTTTACAAGTCAAGCTCTGATATAACGGCAAATTTTATTAGCTACAAATACAACTCTCAGCTTCAGACTAGCTGTTCTTTGCATTTTATTGAATAAGTGTGTATCAAATGAAAAAAATATATAGCAAAAACAAAAAAGTACTACTATAAAACCTCGTTCCCAGGGTCAGTCCCTTTCCACCTTGCGATCGAGGTTGAGAAAGAAATTTTGAAAATAATGGAAGTAATATTGTAGGGGGTTTATAAAATAAAAGAAAAATAATTGGCACAATTCGTTATACTTTGGCTCTTTTTAGCCTCCCCAGTACCTGTAGTTTTGCTGTGATAACGGGCGTCCGCAAAGTTCGCATATGCATTTACACTCTACTCTGCTGATTGGCTGAGATTTTTTATTGAGCGTTTTCACATGACGTCACAGCGGCCATATTGGTGCTCCAAAACAATGAAACTGCGGCCATGTTGGTGTACTCAGAAAATCCTCTGGGAGTTAAACTCTTTTCCCATGTAAATGCTTTCTTTTGGTCCAATAAATTAGCATAGATGCTGGCCACGTGAGTGAAAACGCTCTATAGCTTGGCTTAAAATAATGTAGCAGCAGAGCAGTGTATGCATGAGATTATGTAAACTTAGTTGCGGTGTCACAATCTTTTGTTGTTCATGCGTGCATTCACTATTTCCAATTAATTTTAATCATCATCATTATCACGATCATCATCATCATCGTCGTCGTCATCGTTGTCGTCATCATCATCATTATCACCACCACCGTCATCATTGTCGTCGTCGTCATCGCTGTCGTCATCATCATCATTATCACCACCACCGTCATCGTCGTCGTCGTCGTCGTCATCGTCGTTTTCGTTGTCACCGTCGTCATCATTATCATTTTCATTGTCATCACCATCATCATCGTCATCATCATCATCATCATCGTCATCACCACCGTGAGTTGAAACTGATGCTGTAGGAAATGGTGTGGAAACTGCAAGTAAATTTACACCAATTACACCAATTACACCAATTATTTACACCAATTATTTGGGTGTTTTGGGTGAAACTATTGTGGGGTCGCTTTTGTGTTTTGATGGGAGTATTGTTGTATTACTTCATTTGGTAGTCGCACCCGTCCTCAGCACCAAGAAACTACCTTATTGAATACGTCTACTTTAAACAATTTTTGTTAGGCCACAACAGCGTTGGGTCCAGGAGAAAGTCAGGGATGGGGCCGAGGGATCCGTACCCCCTCAATCTCTTCAAAGAAGCCAATTGGATCTAGAGGTTCGTATTTATATAAAGTTTGGAGTTAAAATTTAAAAGAAAGTAATGCGCAACGGTAGGTTAGTTAGGAAAGAAATAATTAAACCTGTAAGACAGTTTTGAATAGTCAGGGCACTTGTGAACACCAGCTATCAGGAACTGCTAACTCCGCATTTGTACAATGTAGGTTACTATTGGGCCTATCATGGCCAGTATTATATCAGCAACTGAGTATTAGATAACCACCTGGTGGAGTTGGAGATACTGTGGGTGATGATAGCCTCAGAGTTGTTGACGTCAATGGTGTGGGTGGGATCGTGGTCGGCCCTGAGAAATATTTTACAGAACGTTATTGATAAAGCGCACCAGGGGCTCATGACACGCCGTTTTCTTTTCACCCTATGACTAAAAAACAGGCACGCTGCGTGAGCTCAAGGAAAAGATACAGATCTTCGGTATGTTCAATATTTTTTTAATTTTTTTTGAAGTTCAATTCCCATTTCATTTAAGGGAACGTAATTAAGTAAACGTGAGATAATTTTTGTAATAAATACAAAGTGCGACAAGTGTAGGGAATGAAACGTCAATACAGTGTAACCTCTCCTTACGGACACCTTTATAATACGGACACCTCTATAATACGGACACCTCTTATTACGGACAGTTCTTTTGGTCCCAGAAAAGCCAAAAATCATACATTCCCTACCTCTATAATACGGAGACCTCTGTAAAGCGAACACTTGGTTCTGTCCCTTTGGTGTCTGTATTAAAGAGTTTTGACTGTAATACACTTGCCTGGTATATTTTCTATGTATCCTAACCTTGCTTTGTTAAAGCAGGTTAAACAAGATAAAAAAATTAGTGGAAGAAAACTAAACGACTGACTTTTACATAGAGTTCAAGCAAATTTTTACTTATGCTTAATTGTTTGTGCCAAATTTCTAGTTGACAACAATCATACGGCCGCTTTGATGGAGACAAATTTACACTGTGTTTAACTAAACAGAAACGTGTTTAAGCTTTGGTGTGAATAAGCATTAGATCAGGAGAAACGGATTGCATCATATTTGGATAGAGTGCCATTTATACGTATCACTGAGAGAAATTTACCGGGATTCAAACGGATATTTTGGTAAAGGTCTATCAATCTGATCAATATGTTTCACCGAAATGAATCTCGCTGAACTTTCGTTATCTGGCTGTTACTTAATAAAAAGAAAAAATCAGAAAGGTATCTAGGGAATTGCCCTATGGAGGATCTTTCACAGCTTAAAACCCGGTCCTTATACGCAAGTACAAGCGTAAACATACATGAAGTATATATAAAAGGGTAAATATAAGCAAGCATAAAATGCTATGTGGGAATTGGCTATCTTCTTGAGTAGCAAAAACGTAAGAGAGACAGTCACCTTTGTAACTAATTCCATACACGAAATTAGTGTTTGCTTCACCAACACACTCTACATCATCGCTGACATTACATTTTTGCATGACACCTTTCGTAAGACAGCTTTCAGACGGGCCAGCTCTATCATAGGTTTTGGCAGCGTCTGGTCCAGACCAACACTCACCTTTAAGAAGAAATGCACAACGGCATTACTTAATAATCAATTTGATAGTCAATAATAGGGAATCCAAGTTCTACTGGTAACGACTCCGGAGTCCAGTTAACCAGCAATCCGAAATCCACAGCGTAGAATCCAGAATCCAAGACTCTCTTGAATTACATATTTCTTACAATGGGGCGATTCAATGGAACGTGGATTAGTTTCGGCTTACATTGGCAGTAAAAAGGGACACTAAAACCTGGAAAACTTTTGCAAGCAATTATTAAAAGGAATCGTAAAGCTAGACGATCTTTTACATCGGCTGCGGGTTCATCTTTTAATCCCCTCAGTTATCCCCAGCAACGTTGCGCCAATGAAATAACTTATTTGGACCCATCTTGCTCGGAATTCCAACATTAGAGACCTTACGATTCACGGACGAGAAGGATTACGAGTGCGAGATTTCACTGAAAGTTTTTTCGCATATCATAAAAAAATAGACACCCCGGAAAGCTCCATTGTCCTTTTTTTTCTTCACCAGAAAAGTTGGCACTATTATCTTTAAGGAGGTTGAACCCTCTCCCAATCACAAAACGATAAAATCTCTAAATAACACATTCATTTGATAACTTGGTTCCACCACTACGATGATTCTCGTTAAAACTCGTACTAGACAATGGCTATCACGTTTTTCTGCCAAAGTGACAGTACTCAAGTACCTCACATGAACCTCTTCTTTCAGCGGTCGACTAAAACAATATTGCCTTTTGTTTTCAAGGAAAGGGGTATTGTTATGTCACCGTTTCTATTGTTTTCATAGCCAATTGTGTGAGCAGTTCAGTGAGGTGCTGCAAAGTGACGCCGGTACTTGCGCGAGAGCTACCGTAGTATTCAGAAAATAAATCTCTAACTCATAGTCGCTCTCGTCTTAGAATCTAAAGGTCTCTATTGGTAAGGATAGGATGGAGAAGGGATTGAAGCTGTATTACTATAAATTAAATGGGGCCTTATAACAATTTCGGCCACAACGAGACGTCAAAACGGCAGACAAAGTGCATTATGGTCAATTCGAAATATCGATGTATGTAGTACACTTTGAGGACTGCATATCTCGGTATATGTTCTAGCCTCTTATAAGGAAATGAGTAAAATGACAAAACAGAAAACAATTTCATTTTAAAAATTATAAAGAATACTATATTCACTTGACAGTTACCGTAATACTGAATGCTGAAGTGGGAATAATTCCTTGCCCTTGACTCATTTGCACATCTGCAAACCAAATCTACTATGTATGTATCCCAGTTGTTCCAGTCGATGATCTTACCACTCCACACATTACTACTGTTATCACGATCGGTAAAAACGAGGACAGGTACTGGTCGAGGGTTAGTTCTGTCATCTTTGAAGCAACCGATTTTGGCGTAGCTGATAGCACAACCTGTTTCAAGTAATCAGGCAAAACCAACATCAACAAAACATTATTAATAAGCAGATTATATCAGTAACAGAAGCACTGCCCGCAGCTAACAAGGCTATTCGATGCGGCACAGTGCGTGCAAAAAATAAATTAGAAGGCTAACAGTAAGGAAAGGTTACAGTTTACAAATAAATGAAATAAAAATCGTAATATGGTTGAGGATCAAATAAGACGTCAGAGAAGAAAGAATTGAATGGATAAAGAAACTATAAAAGTAGAACGAACAAATCAAAGACTTTGTTTTTTGACATTTTTTGACTGTTTTTAGCTTTTTAAGAGCATGAGCGTATTTCAGTATTCAAAACCAGCTAAAACTGTGCATGTTCAGCTGCATGTTGACGGAGAGCGCAAAAGAACAAATTACCCGAGAAAATATGCATGCATGACGAACGTACAGTGAGAAAGTCTGAGAATATTTACTTTAAATATGTCAGAAGGACCATTAATAGGGAAAGAGCGAAGAATAATTGTGAATGAAAAAAATAAATTAATTAATTAATGCGATTCTAAAATTGAAAGTAATCGCCAGATTTTTCATAGTCAAGTTGCACTCAGTAAACAGACTGTCTGTCATGCAGTGCAGTTTGAAAGGTGTTTTTTTCTATATAGATAGAATAAGAATTTAAAATGATCAAGCAAACCTATTTTCTCTGAGTGAGCAATATAGTGGCGGGACTCTGTACGTTACCTTGAGATGAGCTAGCCCCCTGAATTAACGACAATAGCAGATCTAGAAAGGCTTCTATTTGCATGATTCCGATTGTTAACCGATACCTTGTACTAATATATTATAGAAATTCTACTTGATAAGAGTCAATCATATATCTACTAACTTACAGTTTTCAATATATCAACCGCTAAGGGTCTAAAACCATGGTGTTAATGGGTTATCGCTGGGTTCTTGCGGTCGAGCCTGAGTTAGATAAATGGCCGATATACTCACGCAAACTTTGAGACAAATACTGAGAATTATCATTACACTGATAGAACGTCATTTGTGAAAATGTCGAAACTTTAATCAGATGGAATATCAAGGAGATAAATGAACAAAAATCAATCGCCTTCCGCTAAGTTTTTGTCTGATTTAGTATTTTCATTGTAATTTTATAGCACCGTACTTGACTACGTGTTCGTTAGCGCCTTAACGCAGTAATATTAAAACCACACAATAAATTTAAAAAGCATCTTCACACACAATAAAAATGTTTAATAAGTTATAACTACCATAGAGGCGTATTTCGTCTGTAAAATAGGATTTCTTTAGAAAGAGGTTATCTTCTAGGTGTTTCAAATTGAGACCGTTTATTCGCGGGAAGAGAGAGAGAGAGAGGGAGAGAGAGAGAGAGAGAGAGAGAGAGAGAGAGAGAGAGGGAGGAGGGAGGGGGGAGGGGGGTGGTGCTGATGGAATAAGATGGGTTGATTCTGTAATATGTAATAACGGCCTCTACATTAAACATATTTTTGCATCTACCCCTGGCCCCTCAATTTTATCCCTAAATGCTCCCCCTCCCCACCCTCCCACTCCGAAAAACAAGCCCCTCAATTTTTTTCAGAATATTTTCCCTAAATGTTCCCCATTAGAATACAGTAACACCCACCAAATCCCAACCCTCCCACTCCGAAAAACAAGAAAATGAAATTAACACTTATTGATCATGCAGGACTAACCTCAAATATGAATTTTCAAAATATTTTCCCAGAGTCTCAGCCTAAATGGCTCATATATCAATTGTGTTGCACGGAGCCATTAGAATACAGTAACACCCACCAAATATTAAGAACTACATTTTCAAGTATAAGTGAGGCTGAATTAAGGTCTTATGAAATATCTGCACGGTTTTGCTTGCCACTAAAGTGTTTTTAGAATACAATTAGAAAATTAATGAAAAGACCAAAAACAAAAGGCAAGATTGGAAATGACTTATACCTGTTTCACTTGACTGCTATATTGTAAAAAAAGAATTATTTAACTCTGTAATTAACCTTACTAAAAATAAAGGTGTTAACGTCTCTGTTACATGTCCTAAACTGAATACTTAACGCTACAATCACTAGATATGTACAAGGTGTGCAAAGGTGTAAAGTACGCAAAGGTCCCTGCGATAATATAGTAATAACATGTTGGTGTAACGAAGCATGTGATACATATTAGTTGTGTAACAAATGAAACTTTCAATTTGAAGGTTCTTTTCCCCAGCAATCAACATCACCGTCCAATCAAATTCTGCCAGTCCTTCGGCCGAAATGAACAACTCCTAGAGTGTTCACAGTCCTCTATTTTTCCGTAAGATCATCGAGATCGAGAGCTTTGCGTTACGGGCTGCCATCTTGCATGAGTGTCAAAACTACTTAGGGGACGGGGGCAGTTTGGAAGGAAGCGAGAAAAATAGAGGGACTGTAATAACATCATTGCAGCTCGCGTTCAGGAGGCGTGACAGGACTTTCACGCCTTTTACCATTCATTAATTAAGAAATTCCGTTAGTGATGAAAAACATGCCAGACACATTTAGCATCGATTACGCGTGTTTACGCAACAATGATTTTATAATGTTTCTGGCCATTCCCCGAAATAAAATCGGCAAACATGCACAAGAAAACATTTTCCTAATCAAAATACCAAAAACGTCCTTCAACGTGTGTTTGCCAGTTGTCAAAATTATGTATTGTCCAATGACCAATCAAACGCCTGGGTATGAAAGTTGCACGTTTAATGGAAACGTCGACTTGTCAACGACTTGTCAATGTCGGCAACTTAAACTAAACCCGTTGTCAACACAAATTAACATCTATTGTCCAATGACCAATCAAACGCCTGCGTTGCCGGTGCAATGCGCTCCGTGAACGCGAGCTGCAGTGACTTTATTACAGTCCCTCTATTTTTCTTCCCATGAAAAATGAAAAATGGAGTTAGCAAAGTTCCCAGACAAAAGAAATGATTTTGTTCTTGACGATGATTATCATGGCCGAAGACGTGGCGTCACGTGCAAAGTAACAATTGTCTTTGGAAATGACGTAACGATGGCGAAATATATTTTCTTCTACCTGTTGCGAACTATTTTCTCAGAAACCTCACCAGAAAGGATTTTCTAAAAATTTTTACTATTTAAAGCAAAACAAAACAATCTTAAGACTATGGATTTGACGTCAAAATACTCGATTAACCCCTACTGAATTTACCAGTGAAACTGTGAATTTTCTTCAAAATCCTTTTCAAACCCTTCGGAAATATGTCTCTGAGTGCCAGAAATCACCCGGAGGCAGGTAGCCTCTTTTACCTCCCGTGTTTGAAATCAAAACAATGAATATGTTCTTATGTCTGGCTGTATTATTTATCTCAGTGTGAATATTAGATAGATTGTTTAAGAGAAAAGTTGACGTCATGGAAAGCAAAATGACATTTTAATATCACCAGTGGAACTGCTACAGGGTAAAGGCAGCTACTAGTACTGACCTTAAGATACACTGTTTCTGCCTACGGGTATGGGTAGGCGAATATGTTTGCTACGTAGTTATATAAAAGGCGAACATTATTTTCCAGCTGTGATAATGGCGTTACAGTTCTACCTGGTAGCCTACCCGTTTCTCCGGGGGTAAGAGGTTATCTACCCGTATTTACGACTACGCTTACGGGTATGTAATTTACCCGTACCCGTACACAGAAATGGTGCATCTTTAGATCTGTATTATACGGGCCGAGGCGGCAGAGTAAATCATGCGTTGCAAAGTTACTTTATCACAATGACATTATTTATTGCATCTCTTCAGTTGGAAAACTATCGATACTGAAGTTAAGAACTGAAAGAGCTCCTAAGAGTTACAATGATACGACTGCTACCCTTTTTAATACTGAAAAAACAATTATCAGTTAAAATAGGTCATTCCCGAAATCCAGAAACTCTCACTTTCAAAACGAGGTTAAGTCCAAAACCTTTCTTGTGTAAATGAGTTTTATTTGCAGAAGAACAAAAAATCATTTTCATATCATGAGCCTCGCGCTTCTGCTCGCTTTGAAACAGAAGTTTGGGGAAACTCGGAAATGGCCTCTTGGTCTCTTGAAGGTTGCTTTATTGACTGCTGTAGTTACATATCGTCAAAACCTGCGGAAAAAGGAAAAACAGATTTGATTGTCACGGTAACTGTTGTGTTCATCAGTCCTAATCGTTAAAATCATTTCTGTAATAACCTCGCTTAGTAGCGAAGCGGAGCATTATGGGTAACAAGATTTGGTAACCTATGCATCCGAGAAATTTTGGTAGTCACGTGACCGTATACCCGACCGACCGACCGTCCGACCGACCGTCCGACCGACCGTCCGTCCGCACGACAAGTATACCAATGTAAAATAACTCAATCAACATACAGGTATGGCAACTTCAGGTTATTTTGGCCGGAAATCGTATAGCCACCCGCGTCTTGTGAAGCAGAGACAGACAACTAAAGAGTCAATAAAGACGAAACCGGAAAGCGGAAATTGTTTCTTTATCCGTGTTGTCTAAAATATTAAGCTTAGATTAATTGTTATGTCCAAAAATTTGGAATACAGAGAAAAACAGAGAGAGAGAAAAAAGAGAAAGCTGGCGACAGGCCAGCGAAACTCAACGAGAAAAAGAGCGACAGATCGCTAGAGCGAGAGATAAAAGACAAAGGAGACATTTTTTTTGTTAAAAGAACAACATGAAAATTTTGTAGCGGCGGTGGGAAACTAAGAAATGCTAGCGGCCACAAAGGTGAAAATGAGCGGCGCGGCAGTGAAAAAACAAATGAACAAGAACACGTACGACATTTCTTCCCTGAAACGTGTAACCAAGAAGTTTCTAGAATCTTAATCTAAAGGTCTGTTCTGCAAAGGGCAGTGCAGCCCATCTTCAGCAGAAATTACAACAAAAAGGAACAAAAAAAAGTGTGCTGCACGTGCAAAGTTGTTTTTTGTTCTAATTCGACCTACTGCTGCTTTTTTTGCTATTTGTGTTGCCGTCGCCGCTTGGTTAGCATTACACGATTTCACATTTTGTTTCAGTAAACTATAGATATCAACGAGAGCTTCGCTTTTAGCCCTGGATAAATCTATATATTACATTTTTACTGAAATCACAGTGTCTGTATTGAATGCAAGCAATGGAAGTTTTCCAACCATAAACATAATTCTCAATTTTAAAACCGATCTTAACTGTTTGTTTCATTCACTTATTCATAAATAATCATGGCAAAAAAAAAAAAACAATGTAGCCATCCTTTCTTACCATAGCCACTATTATGGAGTAGCTTAAAACACTTTCTCAAGGAAAGCCAAAATGACTGTAAACACACTCGAACGGAAACACGGACAAAGATCTCTTGTTTCCATATCCGAAGGGTACCACCAACTTGTTATGGAAGGACACTTTGTACCCGATGTTCCTGTTCAAATAAGACAAAAAGTTCAGAGTTCCATCGTTGTTAAAATAATCTGATGCCTTGCTTAAAAATAACGATTGATTTGCCCACTCAGTTAAAGCTCTTGAAATACTTTTTGTGCAGACCTTGCCTGATAAAAAGCAATAAATGATCCTATGGCTTCTAGGCCATTCAAAAAAATGAAAAAATTGGTGAATAAAAGAAAATATATATTTATCTAATAAACCGAAAAACATACATCTCCGAACAATCTAAAGTTCTCAGAAAACTGAGTCGGCAAATTATTCAACTCAGGCCTCGCCATGTTGCTCTTTATCAAATTTAAACCTCATGTTAGGCACGTTTTTGTGCTGATATTGTTCAGGCTGGCCCCTCTTACTTAGAAATAGTATCAAATCAAACGATTAAATATTTATTTACCTTGAAACAACGAAGTTTACCATGCTTATATAAATACTAGCCTTCAGGTGAGGGATTTAACCAGGTCTACACCTGGAAAGCCTTAAGGAAGACCAGGCTAACCAGGCAAAGATCATCATACTTTAGACATATTAAAAATTCAATCGTACTTACTTTAGTCTTTGCCTAGTACAAACCGGTTAATCAGGCTTTAATGGGACTTTTGGTGCATGCGTAGGGTTTAATGTCAAGAATACGTTTAAAATACATTATGTATTTGATAGGAACCAAGGAGTGCTGAGACTTGAAGCAAATTTATATTACAGATCTAAATTAGTGATCTCTTTTCAGGGTGTATTTTTACCTTCGAACTGTTCCACAGCCTTTTAGAGGAGCCTTTATTATAACACTCTTCTTGGTCACATAATTCACTCCACAGCTGGGATTGTTAAGATGAAGTAGACGTGGATCCGATCCCAAGGGCAAACTGTCACGTGCTATGTAAGCCACCATGGCAGAGGGGAAGCATGAAATAGTAAAGGCAAACCTGGGTCCTACGAGTAAAAGAGTGATAAACAAGAAAAAAATCACGAATCCATGAAATCGTCGTTGTAAATCGTCCCTTGTAATTATCACCTTAATATCATAGGTGACGAATTACTCCTTAATTTTGGCGCGAAATTTCAGCGTTTATTTGTAATTTCACATGTGAAATTACCAAAATTGCCATGGCAACCTTCCCTACATCTCAGTGTCAAGATGGCGACGAAGTTTTAAAATGCCGTGAATGAAGATGTCAGGGCACAAAAAGACGCTTTAGAAAACCTGAACACACAAGAGAACATCAAGAAGGATTCTAACAGGTATTTTGCCGCAATAGTCTGAAAAATTCTGAACTTTATAAGCCAAATTTAAGGTCTAAACATTTGAGAGAGTGGAGTTCTCGATCGATACGATCCAGGATAAACATGTCAAAAATCCAAGATTGCTAACATAATTCGTCACCCATGATATTAAGTATGTGTAATCAAATGGTGACGAGTGAAATTAGGGAATAATTTCACGCGCGTTTTGTCCAAATCCTAATAATTTCCCGAGCCTTACTAATTACAGGCATAACTTATCTCTCAAATGTATTATTTTAAGAATAAAATGCTAAAATAAATATTTCAGTATGTTGACATTGTTGTTAACTGGGTATCTGAGGAGATCAAAATTTAAAATGGAGGTTCTGTGACGTCATATGACGTTAGAATCCTGTTTTTAGTGATTCACGTAACATTCTTAGCTTAAGCTTGCAAAGGGTGCTCTTAGCTTAGCTTGGGGAGCCTTTTTTTGCGTCATTTTCGCTGTCTTCGTTTTCATAATTGCTTCACATTCCTAACATAATACACAAGGCACTCTAGATCTGTCAGAGCATTATTCTTTTTTCTGCTTGACCAATAATTTGTATGAGTTTTAGATACTTACTCGTTGGTGAAGGCCGAGGGGTGGCCATTGCTAAAAAAAATTCGAAAAAGTAGAAATGAATTAAAATTTTGTGCATAATACTATAAACTAATTGTAATATAAGCAAAAACGTGTTATTAGCACAAGGTTTAATTCGCAGGGTTTTGGGTGTAGCTAAGTTAATGAGATACATTTGAAACGTAAATAGGAGAATAATGAGTTTGAACGGAAACACGGACAAAGATCTCTTGTTTCCATATCCGAAGGGTACCACCAACTTGTTATGGAAGGACACTGTGTACCCGATGTTCCTGGTCAAATAAGACAAAAAGTTTAGAGTTCCATCGTTGTTAAAATAATCTGATGCCTTGCTTAAAAATAACGATTGATTTTACTTACTCCATGGTGAAGGCCAAAAGGTGGGCATTGCTGAAAAAAAAAATAGATAAGGTAGAGCTGAATTAAAAATTGCTAATTTAAAACAGTGACCTAATTGTAATGGCACAGGCGTGTGAATAGGGCATTGAAGAGATTAATTCGCAGGTTTTTGGGATGTAGCTAAGCTAAAGGTCCTGTAACTCGAGCTCTAACCCTTAAATCCAGACGCTTTTATTTGCTACTTCGCCTGCAACCGCGTGAAATTAAACCCAGCGTTGTTATTGTTATGAAGGGAAGATGCACCTTTTATGTTAGAAACGTAAACACGAGAATAATTGGTGGATGAACATTGGAAAATCCCACTGTTAATTGCAATGTGGTGAGATAAACCGGCATATAAATGTCGCCGTGGGCGACAGGAGGGGGGGGTGTTATTCCTTAACTTCCAGCAAGAAATAATCTTCACCAAATATATGTTTGTTAGAAAGTTGTTTTATATATATATATATAGCTAACGAAGGAGAAGAAGGAATACTCAAGTGTATAAGCATCCTTTCTCCGTTTGATCAGCATTGTTTTCTTTTCGGCCGCCTTACTGATGATTTGTAATATATAGATTTAACCAAGGCTAAAGGCAAAGCTCTTGCACTTGGAAATGAATACTCGTAACTTGTTAGCGGATAACTTCATAAGAACACGTAACCTCGATGGGTCGACACCTCTGCCCGCGAAAAGGTCCTATGATACTGGTCAGTTGATACTCTGTTTTGACAGCAGTCAATTGACCACAACACGGATGTACAATATCAGGTTGCAGGCTCTCACACTAGCGAGAAAGTGTGAGATGTCACATTGTTGCTCTGTGGTGTGGGCGGACGGGTTGATGGACTGACGACTGTACCGCACCGAACCAAATTTGCTTTGCTCGCGCGCGTGGGACTCCACAATGATTTTACTCACTCGATGCTGAAGGCCAACCGGTGGACATTCCTGAAGAAATTAGAGAAAGTAGAACTGAATTAACATTTTGTATTTAATACCATAAACTTAGTTTAATACGCACAAGCGTGTTATTAGCATATTTTGGAGTGTGACTAAGCTAAAAGGTCCAGTAACTCTAAACCTTGAAGCCTTAAATTCCTACTGGTTCATTCTTCACCTGCATCTGCAAATGAAATCCAACGCTCATATAGGGAAAATAGACCAATATCATGTTACAAACGAAAAGTTAACAGGAGAGTCATTGGTTTGATATTTAATAATCTTAGGTTAGACAGGCCGACTGCACATGTTAAAGTTACTTGTGCTTCCGTTTTCCTATTATTCGCTAGGTTTCAGCAAAGAATAATTTTAACACCAACTTTTTTTTCTTCGTCATGGTTTCACTTACAAAAAGCGTCTTCTCACAAAATGATCTGCAATTCTAAATGTACCTGAAAGGCACGTTTTATTGCACAAAGTTGCAATTACCTGCTGTAGGTGAGACTGAACTTGCAGAGGGTAAAGGGATTGAATAGTCTGTTAAAACAAGAACAAATCCTCATCAGTGATCAGCTTATGATTCTCTACTGAAGTCAAAGAGTGGAACTGAAGGCCGACGTGGCTTTTTTCACTTTTTCGTGCTTGATAGGTGCTCTAAACTTATATTTTTCTCAAAACTGTCCAGAACGGCTAAAAATTGCTCAAGGTTGTTAGAATCTGCAAAAAATTGCTCAAAGGGTTCAGAGCACAATCAGGACAGGCCTAGTTTTAACTACTTCGGTCGTTCCATGTTCGGTGAATAGCCAATTAAGTTGTTCACCATAAATAAATATCATACTTACTCGAGCAGACCACAGATGCATCCTCACTGTGACCACAGTCATGAACACCCCATGAAGGGTGCCGACAATTCACAATGGAACTTTCATTTCCCTGACATTGAACATTGTCCAGCCAAATCCTTCCACTTCCTTGGCCAAAAAATGCCCTGTGTGGAGCACTGACAGCAGAAGGATACCCAAGTTGACGACAGACAACTCGCGCATCATTTATATCCCACAAATCGTCGCAAACAGTTCCCCAGCTACCTCTGTAATAGATTTCCACTCTGCCCTCTCCGGACCAATTTCCTCCAACCAATCTCAAACCTGACGCATAAATAGTTGCGTTTTATTTACTGAGTTTACTGGGAAGTAAATTTACGCCCTTCAAGTTTATGGATAGGTATATTTTTGCTTCTAATTACCTTAATGCACCGTAGGTCAAATGAGAGAAAGTCCCATAAAGACGTTCATGACTAAATATAAGCTACTGGGTCGGTAATCTCTATAAATGTTTCAGTTATACATACACGGCCAAATCAAATCAAGCCATTTTGTGAAGCACTTTGTGGCGCGATACATATTAAAGGTGAAAATGCTTCGTGTGTTAACGGTGAAGCTCGATTTCATCTCAGTCTACCCAGCTTCAAGTCCCTCTTCGGGTCACTAGTTGAGGTTGTTCTTAGTTGTCGCCAGGTCATCTTTCCGTTCTTGTTACTTAGGCGGAGCGCGAAGTAAAGGATTCGCGACGCTCAGGAATGTATCAAAGTTGCCATTTTTTGGCAAGATTGGGCACCCAAAGTTTGTAGGTTTTCGGTTTTATTCGGCTATTTGACGAAGTGAGAGCCGAATTAGTTCGAGATATCTCGAGATTACTTCGATTTCGTTGAATTATTCTTTAACTTTTTCGAGGAAGAAGGACTATTATTATTTTCGCTTTCCCGGGGTTTGAACCGACACACCTGTGTGACCCGTCAGATCAGAGGAGACTCTAAGTTGAGGATTAGCCGATTGCGCTACTGCGACCCAGGGTTGTTCGAGCTGTGAAAAATAGTTATGAAATGATGGACCAGTATCGGGACAAAATTGGGCGTGCAAGTTCGTGACTTTTCTGGTTGTTTCGGCTATTTCACGAAATGAGACCGGACTACTTCGTGATATCTTGAGTATATCTTGATATCTTGAGTTCACTTCGAGTTAAGTCTTTAATTTACTCGAGGAATAAATAGAGGATATTACGTGGCCGCGTAGAGAAACGAAATTTCTCCACGAGTGTTGAAGAACATTTCACGAGTGAGACCTCCTTTCGAACTGTTTTATGATGAATTTAAAGTTACAAAATGCTACACAAAGACATTTTGTCTTTGTTGAGTGTTACGTAGTAAAATTGCTGTCATGCGTTGCGTGACTTTCTCGAACGCTCTCTACGTTTTCGGATTATTCATGAAAAATTAATTAGGACATGTTTACATTTCAGCATGAGTCAGCAGATTTGCATCAGTTACTGAAATCGTAAAATATGTCGAAAAGCTACTACTACTCGCCTGTTTAGTATTTTCTAGAACCTTATGTTAAACGGTATACAAGTTCCAAGCGAGTTCTTTTGACGAACGAAGTTTTTTTCCCACGAGCTGGACTGCTGTGTTTAGTCAAGTGTGACGAAGTTCGATTTTCAAGTTCTGTGTTTACAAGTTGGCGGAAGCCGTAAGATATCTGCGGTTCTAGTGAGAGTTTGTTATTATTGGCAGAGGCTGTTTAGTTCTACTTAAGTTCAAGTCAAGTTTGTGTTGGCGGATGCTGTGTTTTAAAGCTCTGTAAAGGCTATTTTCCTTTGGTATTAAACTTCCTTGAGTTAATCCGACATCCCTGCGTGCTGATAGTCAGTGAATAATTGTTCTCAAAACCTTCGAACCCGTAACATTGAGTTTTAGCCAATTCCATGCTCAACGTAATTGACTCCTTACCCATGCCTTACATATCTTTAATTAGTACATGAGATCTAGACTGCTATGCTGTTTTTGAAGCCTGATTTGACTAAGAAAAATAGAGAATTATTTTTTCTCTGTTTGTTTTGTTAGACTTGTTATTCACCGCCAGTAACCTCATATTTGACTTGGGTCTAAACGTTTAGACTTAAGTCAAATTTAGAAGGATTTTTATGGAGTCATCTGAGCATAACTGGGCTAGTATCTCAGAGACAATTTGTCCCGAAATGCTAGTTTTTGGCAAGTAGGCCTCTTGGATGTTGCTTTTTTCAGAACATCCTGACAAATCCCATAATTTCACAAATTAACTCCTTACTCTTACTATATTTCATTTCTTACTATTCCTCCGCATTTGCAATTAATCAGTTCCGCAATCACGGCGCCGAAGTGTACGCTCCGTAGCGTCTTGTTAACGTTTAAAACTACTTTACAATAAGAGTAAGCAGGAGCCCATCGAGTAAGTTATTATAAAAGCAGTTTTGCTTATTCTTACCACCATATACAGGAAGCGAAACAGAAGATACTGGAAATTGTGTAGAGGCTGCAATTAAATTTTAAAACATTGCATTTGAGTTTAGCATCACTAACTTTGTTTGTCTGTCTAACCCTTAACATTTATACACCACAATCTAAAACCACTGTCTCTATCAGTATTTGTGTTACCCAATAACGTTTGACTATTATCAACCAGTTATTGTTTTAATTTGTTCGTGCGTTTTTGGAACAGATTACTAAACCATTATTGCCCGATTCGGTTTTTGTAATATCCGGAATAATCAGCCTTGGCTAATACCAATTTTCGACTCCTTGATTACTCCGTTTATTACAAAAACCGAATCCAGTAATTGTTTTTTTTTTTTCAGATTATAAATTATGACGACAAACACACCGTTGCACTGAACACAGTTTGTCATACCTGTGAAGCATGTTTTATTGCACAAACTTGCAATTACCTGCTGTAGGTGAGACTGAACTTGCAGAGGGTAAAGGGATTGAATAGTCTGTTAAAACAAGAAAAGATCCTAATCAGTGATCAGCTAATGATTTTCTACTGAAGTTTAAGTCATGAAATGAAGGCAATTAATATGGCCGACGTGGCTTCTGGTGGCTTAGGGCGCTGAATTTGTTCTAGGCCTGTCCCAATCGTGAACAAATTGCATTAATTAATTTTTTTTTCACTTTTTAAGCTTAGTATGTGCTCTGAACTTATATTTTGCTCAAAATTGCCCAGAAATGCTAAAATTGCTCGAGGTTATTAGAACCGCAAAAAGTTGCTCCAAACCCTGAAAGTTGCTCAAAAGTTGCCGAGCACAATCGGGACAGGCCTAATTTTATCGTCCTGGATCGACATAAAAGTTGGGGTTTTCCGCGTTTTATCTCTTCGGTCGTTCCCATATGCTCGCTGAATAGCCAATTAAGTTGCTCACCAGTTATGGATATCATACTTACTCGAGCAGATCACTGATGCATCCTCACGGTGAAAACAGTTATGAACACCCCATGGAAGGTGCCTACAAATCCCAATGGAACTTTCATTTCCCTGACACTGAACATTGTCCAGCCAAATCCTTCCACTTCCTTGACCGAACCGGGCACTTTGTGGAGCACTAACAGCAGAAGAATACCCAAGTTGACGACAGACAACTCGCGCATCATTTATATCCCAGTCATCGTCACAAACAGTTCCCCAGCTGCCTCGGTAATAGATCTCAACTCTGCCCTCTCCAGGCCACCCTCCTCCAACCAATCTCAAAGCTGATGTATAAAAGAGTTACGTTTTATTTACTGAATTTAGGGAAGTAAATTGCCACCCTTTAAGAGATTCTATTAACAAAAAAAAGCAAGAGAGAAGAGGGAATCATGGGGCGTTGGCCGGGATATTTAAATTTCACTCAAGTTATTTTTAGAGGTAACTGCAATTAAACAGAAGTTTAATTCCCGAGACGTCCGCACATTTTAATCTATTGTTTGTAACATCATCAAGCCACACGCGACTGCCTCAAATCAAACAATACACACAATATTGTAATGGCGACTGTTGAATTCTCTCTCGACAACACTGAATTAATGAAAGTTTGCGGACCTCTTTAGAAACCAACTTCCGATTAATTTCAAGCGTTGAACTGGTCTAAAAATAACTTTGGTGAAATAACCCATATCCCAAGTGCGTTTACCCTCCTGTCCCATTATTTCCTCGTGGAGAAAAGCTAATAATAAATTTAAAAGAGATTTGCCACTACCGCAAGTTATGCATTAGTCTGTTCCAGGCTCTCAGATTGTTAACTGGTTCATATTACTTGTAAGTTCAATTTTGCACCTATTTTCTATGTTTGTTGTGAAATAGAGTTAATTCAGGCAAGGATTTCACAAATGAAGTAACAATCTAGATGTGGAGAATCTTAAAACATGCGATTAACTTGCTCCAGTTATTGTAGAAATTTCAAAAAGTTCGGACTTTTTGAAAAGTAAAATAAAGTTGAGAACGCTTGACTCTCGAAATTTAATCCCTTTCTTCATATTTCCTATTGATATTGCGCAGGGAAAAAACCGTGAAATACATTAAGACCAAATCCATTAGGAAATTGAGTAATTTTAATTTTCAGTGGACAAAAACCTTGCACCAGAATAATTTACACAATATTGCATTCTTTTGTTTACATTTTTCAAGGGCTATAGATATAATTAGTTGTCTGTGACACTAAAGCCTACTTCTCATGGGAGCCCGAGAAAATTGAATAAATGTCAAATTTGTCGAGTGAAAATTAAAACTACTCAATTTCCTGATCATGGGATTCCGTCTTAAATGTTTTGCCAAACTCGCGAAATTAAGGGTGCGTTTCCTTACTAAAACGCACTGATCAGATCAAAAATCCGGATCATTAGGAGTTTTCGTTGAGAAAAGAAACGATGTATCCAGGAAGGGATTATTTTTCATTCATTTCCATAGAAACGATCCACAATATCGACGGTGTCCCGGAGAAAGAATAACACGGCTGCTGACAAGGTAGCAAGTTTGCCGATCTTTCATTGTTTCTGGATGGTTAGCTTTAGGTTTAGACGGGCAAAATGAAGACGAGTCTTGAAATAAGGTATGTCTTGCAAGGCGCGACGGTGAAGTTGTGTAGCAGTTTTTTCCTTGTCACCAGAACAATGCTGGTCCTGTTCGTATTGCGATTTTACCACCCCGATAGAACGGATAAAATCAATCGTTTAATCCATTACTCCCGTTCAAAAATGGCCGTAAAGATATGCAGTCTTGTCAAAAAGCTGATGTATGTATTAAATTTTTTCGAGTTACCGCTGGCAATATTTACTCTTTTCGGATCCGTAATAAAGAAACGCTTCCGATCATGTATCCAAAGTATCCGGTTTTGGATATGATCCAAAGAATCCACCTCCGTTGAGGATCATTTGGATCAATAATCCGGTTTTGGATTTTAGTAAAGAAACGAAACATCCGTTTTCGTATTAAAGTCCGGAGTTGGATTTTAGAAAAGAAACGCACCCTAAACACTCTCGAAGCGAGACACAAGATGTTGGAAAGCGCGTAGACTGGGCTGTAATTAAATTTAAACCAATGCATTTGAGTTTGGCATCAGCAACTTTGCTTGTCTGTCCAACTGTTATCATTTATTCGCCACAACCTGAACCCACAGGCTTAAACACTATTTGTGTTAATCAATTTAGTTTGACTATTTCCTCAACAACTATTTTTAATTTATTTGTTCATGCGGTCTCAGCCAGACCAACATAATAAACTGAATTATTGGATGAGTTTTTGTAGTGAGAATAATCAGCCTCGGATAATACCATTTACCGAGACCTTGATTATTCCAAATATCACAAAAACCGAATCCAACAACTATAACTGTTTTGAAAAACACACCGTGGCACGGAACACATTTTGACATTGCACGTTTGGTTTGGAAATCATGCATTTCGAGGACAACCTATACAAATGAGGCCAGATAACTCACTAATCTGTGGACTGCGATGATAAGTTTCAAAATTAACTAACGGTAGTCTCTCAGCCAATGAGAAGATATGTAGTGAGTGCAATGAAAAATAAGTAAACTTAACTAGTGAATGGACTCGTTGATAGGGCTGGAGGAACAAAAAACACCAACTAACAATGCATTAGTATAGGTAATAGTATGATTAGTAGTGATATTTGGCATAAATACCTTGAGTGATATTTCAAAATTAATATACGTAATTTCACGAGCCGCTAGGCGAGTGAAATTTGAGACAATTTTGAAATATCACGAGTGGTATTTATGCCAATTATCACGTACAAATCATGCTATTATTTGTTTATACCACTACCCGCAAAAGATTTGTAACTTTCACATGTAGGTATTTCAAATTAAGCTGAAATGCCACTGCTCTAAGCCAATCAAATTAGAGAAGTTTCTCATGTAGTAATATAAAAGGTGCAATAATGTCACGAGGATATATTGTTGTAGGTTAATAGGCCATTTCCGAGTTCCCCCGGGCCTCTGTTTCAAAACGAAGGTAGGTGCTCAACCTTTGATTTGGAAATCATTTTTCATTCTCATGGAAATAAAACTCATTTTCACAAGAAAGGTTGTGCACCTAGCCTCATTTTGAAAGTGAGGGTTTTTGGAACTCGGAAGTGGATAGCTCTAGTTTCAGCGGGCTGTAATGGCACTGAACCATAGGCTGGTTTTTGCAAATAAGAAGGTGTGTGTACTATGCTTCATCCATTTTGTTGTCTATATGCGAAATCCTGTCGTTTATCGGTTCGCGAAATATATAGTGTTTTGTCAAACATTTAAGTTGTTATGTAAGCCTTAATCAGGCACTCTTCACTGCAGTTTACTCGACTAAAAAAATTCTAGACTGAAATGACGCCGGATTGAAACTTCACGAAGTCAGATTACTGAATATGTCCTAAAATTTGCGTCATTTTAAATTTAGACTCGTCAATGCTTCCAGGGACCATAAACTTACTGCCCGGCGTGAGATAAAGGCTTTTAATTGGCCTTTGCATGAGTTTTATTGTTTTACTGATTGCCAACTAGTAGCCATGAGTTGATATTTTTGCTTTAAACATAGTTGTTCGCCACTAGCGCATCTCCCATGTCTCCGCCGCCCTAAATTTTGCATAAGCATTGTTTTCAACTTCTCGGCTTGGGGCGACTGTAAAACGAGGAGAGATAAAAAACATTAAGGTTTTGCAAAATTTTGGACGGGACAAACACTAATGTATGTGCTGAGAAACAAGCATAAACATGCTCAGCATTTAGTGAGGCTGGATTTCAGTTTGGTGTCCCCAGATTCAAATCCCTCCCCGGGTCACTAGCCCGGGTTTCTCTAATTTGTCGCGAGCTCATCTCTTCGTAAACCGTTAGAAAGCCTTGCCCTTTATTCTTACCATATACAGGAGGCGAAACAGAAGATGTTGGAAATTGTGTAGAGGCTGCAGGAAAATTTAAAACAATACATTTGAGTTTAGCATTATTAATTTTGCTTGCCTTTCTAACCGTTAACAGGGACCTTAAGCAACGACGACGATGACGGCAGTGGAAACGTCGCTAAAAAAAAGGAATTTGCGTTCTTTCAACTTAATCGGGTCTATTTGCACCCGCTCAAAATGTTAATGCAGGAGACTTTTCCTGAAGATGAATTCTTAAGGATTTTATTCAAGTTCAAAAAGAGGAAGGAAAATTCGTCGTCGTATGTCCACGTCCTCCATAAAACGTAAATTTAGGAGGCTTCACGTCGTAGTCGTGCAGTGGACGTCAAAGAAATGTACTAAAAGCGTGAGGCACATGCAGAGCTGTTGTTTTGATCATTAAACCTGTTTTTTGAAGTTGTCGCCGTCGCCGTCGCCGTCGTCGTAGTTGTTTAAGCTCCCTAATATTTATGGGCGACAACCTTAAACTACAACAACAACAACAATTTATTGTACCCAAAGCAGGATTTTATAGTTATTTACAAGTTGTTAAATTAATCAATTAACTTAAAAGGGGTACTAACTTCCTGAAATAGCTAATAAGTTAAAAATGCCAAGAAGCCAGATTCAGTAAGATAATTTAAATAAGTTTATTGTGCGGGGTTACAATATGGCAGCATATCAGACTGTATACACACAAACACACAGAAACACACACTACCGGCTCTAACAGTGTTTGTGTTAGCCAATTAAGTTTTACTACTCTTAACCAGCCATTTTTCTTTGTTCCTGTGGTTTTAGACCACCAGTGAACGTAGATAACGTTTTAACTTTTTATTTTTTGCAAAGATATTTAAAGAAGCGATTCTAGAGCAAGTTCGACCCTCAAATTTTGTCTGAAAAATGGCCTTTTTTAGTAGTTTAAGTATGCGATTTCCGTTAGTTAGCGGCGACACCCAGTTTTGACTGGATTCTGAGCTGATTTCTCGCATGGAAGTGAGGCTGCTTGTTTCGTGACCAAAGGTCCGTTAACCGTGAGCACGGTTTATTCCATCCTAGTTATTCCGAGAACGGACCTCTGGAGCCAGAGTAGACCTTCACAAAAAGTATTAGGATTCTCATACAAACGCTTTAATGAATTTCACGCTTGCTTACCAACCTTTCAAGATCGCGTCTTAAAAACACCATACTTTGATATATGGTCAGCTGAAGAAAAACAGTTTTCAACACAATATAGAAGCACTTACCTTGGAATAAGGCAGCCCATTGGGATAAAAGCAGTAGCAGAAAAACTTGTAGGCTCATCATTCTAAGCTGACTGATCACGAAAGCAGCCGTGCACGTTCAAAATGATATCATATATGTCTACCGGAGAGCTTCCAGTGATTCAATATTCTGCTAAGGGTGTAAGTGGGTTTATCGCTTAGCTGTTCTTGGCAAGCACTGATGGAACCTGTTTTTTTTTTCGGTACGGAAATGACTAATATAATCATCAAGGAACGTCTTGGTTTAGTGAACATTGCTACGGTGTGATATCAGACTCTCAACCTGCATGCAAAGGCTTTTCCAGCTGGTGTCACCCCAAAAACCTATCAACTACGTTCTGAAAACGTATCAGAATCGGTACTTAAAAGGGTACACAGCTATTTTATGAAAAATATTCTTTTGTTTTAACTGATAAAAATATTTTATCATTACCGAATTAGTATCCTTGTTGTCTTACCGGCACTTTCGTACAAAGTGCTTTTACACTGTATTGGTCACTATCTTGATATTTTTTCTTGCTTTGATGAAGAACTAAGTGTTTATGACCTGGAGCAAATGTTTCGCAATTCGTAGTGGTGAGACGTGAGTAAATTCATGTGGTTATTAGATCAAAGTTAGATAGCTATATATTTCACTTTTAAAGGGAGTTATCTCAGTGTCCTGAATATTGATATCAGACTTTCAGCTCGTAAGTGCTTGTTACTAGTGTGGCACGAAAAGCCTTCAAATAGAGCCGAAATAAATCAAAAGGGACGAAAAATACTCAAGCGCAAATTACAGGGGCACTGGTATTATTATAAATTACTAAAAAGTAAAACGATTCCGCCGAGTGGAAAAGAAGGAATGAATTTTCGCAATAGCATGAAGTGTTAAGACTTGTGGTATGGCACAATATGGCGGAATTTAGCAAAATACAAAGAACACAAAGAATCAAAGAAATAAATCAGTCACAACTCAAAATCAACGTGCCTTTTTTAGGCACCAATTAGCCTGCGTGGCGGGCTAAAGGCTGTGTCCCTATCCCCTACCCCTTTCAACGCCTACTACGCAGGCTAGCACCAATTTGCCTGAATTATATAACAGTCGGTGAATTTTTACTCGGGGATTACTGTTAATCTCGGGGATTATTCAACAACATTAACTTCGCCTTTGGCGAATAATTGTTAATTATATTAAACAGTCGGTGAATTTTTACTCGGGGATTACTGTTAATCTCGGGGATTATTCAACAATATTAACTTCGCCTTTGGCGAATAATTGTTAATTATATTAAATTTTCGATCATTTTTAATGCTATTCTTATCATTTTGAACAAAGGAAAAGAAATAACTATTACTTGTTGTTTGGTATTCAGACTGGGTAGTCCTACATACAGCACCGCCTATAAATAATCCTCCGAAAACAGTACCTTATGAGCGCTGCCGCGCTTTTTCGAATAACTGCCTTATTTAAAACCGTGGCTGCACTGACTAACACGGGTTACGCATCCCAGAGGAGGGTCATGATTGAGACGAGTATGCTTTGTTTTAGATGCCTCTCACACACAGGACCACCCGAGTAACCGAAAGTTTGAGCCGGGGATACGCCCTTCTCTAGAGAGGTGAAATGAATTGAGGCACAATGAACTTTATGAAAGACAGAGTATTAAGACGGGAGCTTTAGGTTTAACACAGTGGAACCTCGATATAACGAAGTGCCAAGCGACTGGCAAAATTTGTTTGCCATAGCGAGACTTCGTTATATCGAGGTTTCACTGTGCCTAGTAAATGAGCGTGGATTTTCTGGAAATAACTGAAATACAGGTGAACAGCGAAGAGAAGGGGCCTTTTGATGCTTACCTTGGACTATAACTTGCACTCTATCTTTAAAACTTGGCACAGGGATATTATTTCTGAGGAGAGATACCTCGATAGAATAGATGAAGTCTTCGTCGCTGGTCACGGCATTTCTCAGTATCAGTGTAGCTGGAAGTCTCGCACTGTAGTTTGAAATAAATTGCGGAAAAAGAGTGAACGCTGTTGAGAAGGTGCGGATTGCAATAACTGCTGGTGAATCAGCAACATCCCTTTGCCTTAGAAATGTGACCCTTTGAACAGTTTCGCTTAATTCAACCTCAAAATCCCAGACAAGTGCCGCACCAGTGTTGTTTACTCCTTCAACCAGGATTGTTGGTTTCTCAGGCTGTCTTGTCCAACGGATTGCGTCTGGGGAGAAAAAAAATGAGTTATTTGATGTGCCACTACTACCATCGACAATGAAGGCGTTATTCACTTAAAAATGAACGAAGATTACTTTGAAAATTAGCTAAATTTACCCGATCGCTGCAAATAGGCGAAAATCCAGAAAACGGTCAAAACCCAACGAGCGACACTCCAGTGAGATGTATTCATATTCACGGAAATGATATTCATGATATTTGTGAATTCGAAAACTGTTTAGTGTATTGAGCCTTGTTAAACATCTACTGAAGTAACTGTGAATTTTTGTCCCTCATTTACAAGAAATCTGTGCGGTAAATATACTTAATTAATGTCTGCGACAATTCCTCGGGCTGCTTTGTGGTAGATATGAGTAACGAGGTATCCTTGTAGTTTCCCTTATATACGAGTTCAGGTCAACCCGAAATCAGCACGTTCCTGTTCAGTACAATTACATCCGTGTCCCCTATTTCCGTTAATCATCTGATAACTGGCCTCGATATTGTTGCATACAAGAAGGCACATCACATGCCACACATCTAGGAAAGATCGGAGTCCATTAACCAGATAATTTCACTATTCTATTTCTTCATTAATTGGGGGCCGTGTTTTTTTGTTTAAATAAGATAATACCAATTACGATACACTTCCTTATTCGCTATGGAAATTGATGTCAAATAAATATCCCAAGCACTAGCTAAACATTATTTCAAACCATAGCTAGTAGAGGAGACTGATCAGGAAAGCCGGCAAACAGCAAAGTTGAAAACAACGGTGCTGTCAGTAATTTATGTTGGAAGCTCCCCGACCGTGCACAATCCTTTTTTTCACAAACTGTGCGGACAGAATAAATTAACGCGATGTTTCTATTCAGGGGTCATGTCAGTAAGTTCAAAATGATAGGAATGCTATACGTTGTGCATGGTCAGGTCCAAAAAAGCTGAAAAACATACAGCAAAAGAGTCTAACGGGTTTCATAACCATTCCACTTTAATAACGATGCTCAAACGTTACAAACAAAAAAATGAAGTTTGAAAAACTGTTACTGAGGCTAACAAGTTTTCAAAAACCATTCTGCAAAGTCTTTTCGATCTTCTTCAAGTTTGTCTCAGTCCGTGCCTAGTTCTGTATTTGCAGGGTTATTTATACGTACTTTAAGGTTTGAGTGGTTATTTTTACTATTCACTCAATTTCGTGTCCCGGCAGTTCTCACTGTCTGAGGTTTGATTAATTTCGTGGTACATCTCCTTTAAATCCCCGCCCCCTGGACAAGCCGACAGCTTGAATTGGCCGTCCAACTTAGCGGGAAGCTCAGGTCGATTTGTTCTTTAGCAGTTTTGTCATTGTAGTTAAAAAAAGAAACAGCAGAATTAGGATGTCGTCATAATTATAAAAGTGTAAGTAAAGTTTTTGTTGTAAGTACCAGCCCACTGTATAATGCTTTCCTTTCATTCGGAGCTAATAGAGCAAAAAAAGCTAGTTACCAGGGGCACTCAAGGACTGTTTACTGTAAAATATCTGTTCAAAGCAAGTATTGCCTAGAATTTTCTATTGTTTGAGGACCGTTAAAAAGTTCTAGATGACCGTTCCATTCCGATGATATATACAATTTTCAAAGCTTATCTAATAAATTTCCTATGATTTTCTGAAGTTTAGTTTTTCATATTTCCGGCTCCCCAGGTTAGGCTCAGTTTTTCGCGCAAAAAGGAAACCTAAAATTTTCGGATTCGAAAATGTGATAGAGGAAGGGATGAGAAGAAATATCACCAATTTTCGGGAAAATCATACTGAAGCCCTTGTTATTTCGAAAAGGCTTAAGATGTACTATGAATACCGAAGAGAATAGATACAAATATTGTAGTGATCCTTAGAATGTATTTCTAGGGATCTAAAAGTACTCTGGATAGCCTAAAAAGTGTTTTCAATGTATTTAGGAGGAAACCGTCGTTGCCACTGAGTTACATAATTCCGGGACGCCAAAACGGTTGCTGCGCATATATCAAGTTATTTTACTTTGTGTAAAAGAAGGTTTGCCAATGCAATCAAAACCTTCAAATGTCATTGTGCTAGATGAATTTGACTTTGATTTTGGCAGATTAAACTGATAGTTCGACTCGCAATATAGAGGACCCACAGGGAACGAGGTTGCTCCTAGCTGTGCTTAAACCATTCTCGTCCAAGGAGCCTCCTGGGAGCCTGAGCACAAAGACCAGGGGACTCTAGGGTTACCCTACGGACACAGGATTTGAAGTCCTAGATTTTAGGACTTCCGGTCATTTCTGATTTTCTACAGCGTTTCTAACAGCGTTCACTTGCTCTTGCAGAAGTGTCAATGACTGTAAATTTAGGTGATTCAAAGCTTTTAAAAGAGAATCCTCCAACTTACTTTTGAATCGGAAATGACCGGAAGTTCTAATTAATCTAGGACTTGAAATCCTGTGTTCCCATAGCCTCCCGGTCCTCGTGCTCAGGCCCACCATGGAGGGAGTGGGTTTCATTAAGGCGGATGGTTGAGCCCACCAGCAAGTATGACCTCAAATATTGTTTCAATGACTTTCAAAATGGCGACGAACGCTTGAACGATAACATGAAACTCTTTTAAAAACGGCTTCGCGTTTCGCTGTTTTTGCATTTGTTAGAGACGTCAGCATATGTTATAGTCTGCACAATTCCATGGAGCGCAGCAAGGTTAGAACTTCTGTGTAGGTCGTGGAGGGGTAAGGAGAGGGGCCGGTTAAAGTGAAAGAAGGGCTGATTCGAATGCATAAAGGTTTAGCGTACCACGGGGTTTGGGAGTATAATATGCTCCTCGGAAAAATTTCGAATTAAAGTGTTCTGAATGGCTAAAAAATTTAATCAGATAGACTATCATCCCAATAAAGAAGAATGTTCAGTAATCCAGCATGAAGCATTATGCTCTTTTTGAAGTAGAAAGTTACTTGGTCCCAGGGTTAAGTAAATTTATTAGTTAGCCAAACTCTTTCTTTAAGTCAGATACAATTATAAGAGATACTGGCATTAGAAAACAAATAACTCGAGGATCAGTATTGTCGGACGAGATCGAGGGTGCTTTTTTGAGGGAGCTGGGGGAATCTCATGCCGTTGTGGTCCTTGTCTTCTTTCCTTTCTTTGTAAATGTTTCTTCGGTCATCACCGAGAAGTTGGCTTTATCTACCGTTTGCCATCACAGACGATTCTTGGATTAAACATATTACGTTACAGTAAGTTTTGGGATTGGTGATTGCTCGAGATTCAATTGTGTTTTGCAATCTTCTTTCCTGTTTATAATTCTATCTGGACTTCAAATCCAAAAGTTGGCTCTTGGTCTTGGAGATAGCCATATTCATCTCTTATGGTTTTAGTTTTCTAGGTTTCATTTTATTGACTGTCCAATACATAAACAAGTAATAGTGGGAAAGCACGTATTTTTCATTTTGTCCCTCAAACCAGAGAAATCTGCAAGATGGGTGCAGCATTCCCCCTTAACCTTGTACGCCCACTGCAATGGTCACGTCAGTAAGATGATGTTTATTACTTTTCATTAGTTATTTCTAGTATTTTTCAAAATTATAATTACTGCAGCCAAAAACTAAAACAGCTCCTTATAGAAACAAGGATTGCTAAAATTTGCCTCTTAATCAAATTACTTTTGTAACTTCTGACGGTTAACATAGCGTGAAAACACCTGCGAAAAAAAAGGAAAACAGATTTGAAAGTTGTCGAAAATTGTGTTTAACGAATGTTGGGTAACTTTCACAAAGCAAAATGACTAAAATCATCTCGATAATGAATGGCGAAGGGGGTTAAAAATACTTTAACCGCAAAGAAGACTTCGTTTTAAATACGTCGTTGTAACTAAGGTCATCCAATTAACTGACCACAAGGGCTCTGAGTGGCAGAGCCCCTTCTCCCGAAATCAAGGATGGCAGAATGGGAGTTTTCGTTTTCGCGCGGTTTTGCGCATTTTTTATTTTTTGTTTTGCTGTTTTTTTTCTTATGTCTGAGACTGACGTCACAGCAGCCATATTTGTGTTCCAAAACAATGAAACGGCGGCCATTTTGATTTACCAAACTGTCGTTCGCTTATTTCTATTACCAATAAAATTCGAAGTTCCTCTCAAGAGGGTGATAAAATCTCTGTAGCTTCGCTGAAGCCATTGTGGTCACAATCCTTGAAGAAATTTAAAGCTATGCGGGTAACTAAACGGATTATCATTTGTTAACTTATTTTAAGGAATTGACTTCCTTTGTTCTCTATGAATTAATTGTTCTTCAACAAGTTAAGGTGAAACCCGAGCACACTGAAAGAGTACGCTTAATAATTGCCAAAATCACAGTGTATCCATCATTCCTTACCTTGGTTGGGATTATGGAGTAGCTTGAAACACTTCTCAAGGAAAGCCAAAATGACTGTAAACACACTTGAACGGAAACACGGACAGAGATCTCTTGTTTCCATTTCCAAAGGGTACCACCACCTTGTTATGGAAGAATACTCTGTACCCGATGTTCCTGGTCAAACATGCAAGATGAAAATTCAGAGCTCCATAGTTGTCAACAGGAATCCGTGTTAAAAGTAACAAATGTATTTCTCTCTCAACTGGACTCATTTTTACTAGTCCAAGAGAAAAACCGCCATTTTGTCACATGTAGGTAATTTCAAAGTTCCTAAAACGTTTGGAAAATATAAACTTCATTTTAGGGGAAAAAACCTCCGTAAGCTTCAGAGTGTTTTTGCCAGTTGCGTAGCAGGTTTTTAAACTGTCATGTCCATATATCGTACCATCAGTCCGTTTCCTTGGCCGGCCCTCCTACTTAGAAATAGGCTCGAATAAACTTAAAATATGTCTTTCATGGTACATCTTTAGTTAAACCTGAAACCAGGTTCACAAAGCTCAGTTTCAGAGAATACTTTCAACTAAGAGTCATTTCAACAAAACTTTAAGTGTAATTTTTAAATGTGGCACCGTTTTAGCTTCTAAAACAATAATTTATGTGAATTACACATCTAAAAGTTGTACCAAATAGAACCAAGGCTCACCAACCGACTCCGGGGAAACCAGTCGTACGTACCAGGCTTTAATTGTTATAAGTAAGGCCTATATTAGAAAATCCTGGAAAGACCAGGCTAACAAGGCATTACAGGTTAAGATTTTACAGTCAAGATCGGACTCGCCAGACTTTTGAGAAATATTTCAACCATCCTTACCATAAAAGGCGGGTAAAAACAGGTTTAATCAGGGTTAAGCTGGCCTAGTAGGCTTCTAACAGGACTTTTGAAGCATTTAAAAGGTCTACATCTACCAAAATAAGATTTTTTAAATATATAATATATTTAACAGCGCTGAAATCAAAAGGGGGCTTGTTGCTCACTAATTACCAAAAATTACGTTATTGATCCGTATTTTCAGAGTTCATTTTTACCTTCGAACTGTTCCGCAGCCTTTCAGAGGAGCCTTTATAATAACACTCTTCTTGGTCAAATAATTCACACCACAGCTAGGATCGTTAAGATGAAGTAGACGGGCATCCGATCCCAAGGGCAAACTGTCACGTGCTATGTAAGCCACCATAGCTGACGGGAAGCATGAAATAGTAAAGGCAAACCTGTGTCCTACGAGTAAAAGAGTGATAAACAAGAAAAAAAATCACTAATCCATGAAATCGTCGTTGTAAATCGTCTCGTGTAATTATCACCATAACTTATCTCTCAAATATATTATTTTGAGAATAAAATGCTAAAATAAATATTTCAGTATGCTGACGTCGTTGTTAACTGGGTATCTGAGGGAATCAAAATTCAAAATGGAGGTTCTATGACGTCATATCACGTCAGAATCCTGCTTTTAGTGATTCACGTAACATTCTTAGCTTAAGCTTCCAACGGTACTCTTAGCATAACTTAGGAAGCCCTTTTTTGCGTCATTTTCGCTGTCTTCGTTGTCATATTTGCTTCAGATTCCTAACATAATAAACAAGGCACTCTAGATCTGTCAGAGCATTATTCTTTTTTCTGCTTGACCAATAATTTGAGTTTTAGATACTTACCCGTTGGTGAAGGCCGATGGGTGGCCATTGCTAAAAAAAATTCGAAAAAGTAGAAATGAATTAAAATTTTGTGCATAATACAATAAACTAGTTGTGCTTTCAGCACAAACGTGTTATTAGCACAAGGTTTAATTCGCAGGGTTTTGGGTGTAGCTAAGTTAATGGGATATGTTTGAAACTTAAATAGGAGAATAATGAGTTTGACATCAAAACATGTAATTGTTAGCCGCAATGTGTTTAGAGAGGTCAACAGTACATGTAAATGTCACCAGGGAATGTTATTCGTTGAGTGCCAGCAAGAATAACCTTCGACAAGGAGGTCTCAGGCATTATACTTCCGTTTAATTACAACCTCTAAAAATAACTTTACTTTAACGCCCTAAGATTCCTTCTCTGTCCAATTATACTCTCTTCTCTTCACAAAATTTGAATATTAAATTAATCAGCATTGTTTTTTTTCCGCTTGACTGAATTACTATGATTTTACTTACTCCATGGTGAAGGCCAAGGGGTGGGCATTGCTGAAAAAAAAAATTAGATAAGGTAGAGCTGAATTAAAGATTGCTTTTAAAACAATTAGCTAATTGTAATGGCACAGGCGTGTGAATAGCGCATTGGAGAGATTAATTTGCAGGTTTTTGGGATATGGCTAAGCTAAAGGTCCTGTAACTCGAGCCCTAACCCTTAAATCCAGACGCTTCTATTTGCTACCTCGCCTGCAACCGCGTGAAATTAAACCCAGCGTTGTTATTGTTATGAAGGGAAGATGCACCTTTTATGTTAGAAATGTAAACAGGAGAATAATTGGTGGATGAACATTAGAAATTCCCCACTGCAATGTGTTGAGATAAGGCGGCATATAAATGTCGCCGTGGGCGACAGGGGGGATGTTATTCCTTAACTTCCAGCAAGAAATAATTTTCATCAAATATTTGTTTGTTAGAAAGTTGTTTTAAATAGCTAATGAAGGAGAAGAAAGAACACTCATTCACAAGTGTATAAGCATCCTTTCTCCGTCTTAATCAACATTCTCGGTTTTCTTTTCGGCCGCCTTACTGATGATTTTTAATATATAGATTTAACCAAGGCTAAATGCAAAGCTCTTGCACTTGGAATTGAATACTCGTAACTTGTCAGCGGATAACTTCATAAAAACACGTAACCTCGATGGGTCGACACCTCTGCCCGCGAAAAGGTCAAGTGATACTGGTCAGTGGATACTCTGTTTTGACAGCAGTCAATTGACCACAACATGGATTTACAATATCAGGTTGCAGGCTCTCCCACTAGCGAGAAAGTGTGAGATTTAACGTTGATGCCCTGTGGTGTGGGCGGACTGGTGGACGGACTGACGACTGTACCGCACCGAACCAAATTTGCTTTGCTCGCGCGCGTGGGACTCCACGATGATTTTACTCACTCGATGCTGAAGGCCGACCGGTGGACATTGCTGAAGAAATTAGAGAAAGTAGAACTGAATTAACATTTTGTATTTAATACAATAAACTTAGTTTAATGAGCACAAGCATGTTATTAGCATATTTTGGAGTGTGACTAAGCTAAAAGGTCCTGTAACTCGAACCCTTGAAGCCTTAAATCCCTACAGGTTCATTCTTCACCAGCACCTGCAAATGAAATCCAACGTTCATATAGGGAAAATAGACCTATATCACGTTACAAATGAAACGTTAACAGGAGAGTCATTGGTTTGACATTTAATAATCTTAGGTTAGACAGGCTGACTGCACATGTACATGTTAAAGTTACCTGTTCTTCCGTTTTCCTATTATTGGCTTAAGTTTCAGCAAAGAATAATTTTAACACCAAATTTGTTTTTCTTCGTCATGGTTTCACTTACAAAAAGTGTCCTCTCACAAAATGATCTGCATCTAAGTGTACCTGTGAAGCATGTTTTATAGCACAAACTTGCAATTACCTGCTGTAGGTGAGACTGAACTTGCAGAGGGAAAAGGGATTGAATAGTCTGTTAAAACAAGAACAAATCCTCATCAGTGATCAGCTTATGATTCTCTACTGAAGTCAACTTGAAGTGTGGAACTGAAGGCCGACGTTGTTTTTTTTCACTTTCTCGGGCTTGATATGTGCTCTAAACTTTTATTTTGCTCAAAATTGCCCAGAACGGCTAAAAGTTGGTCGAGGTTGCCAGAACCGACAGAAAATTGCTGAAAGGGTTCAGAGTACAATCAGTACAGGCCTAGTTTTAACTCTTCGGTCGTTCCATGTTAATAGGGACCTTTAGCATCAGGTTTTTCATGGGAAACGGCAAACCGCAAACCGCAAAATGTCACGTGACCACGGCCCTGCGGTCACGTTTGCAGTTTGCAGTTCACGTTTGAACCGCAGGAAGGGCTTCCAGCGGTAAGTGATTTACGGCAAGGTTTTTTGCCACAAAAAATTGTACAGCCTCGCGTTTGAAGATATGAACTAGCTTTTGTATCCGTTTGCGATGTGTTTGTTAGATTTTTGATCTCGAATCAATGAATTATTGCTGAGTTTTGGGCGATTAAAGTGATGCACTTCGACTTGATGAAAACAACATGGCCGCCCTAAACAATGAACGCGTAGTTCAAATCAATTTTATATTCCTTTCTGCCGTACTAACAAAGGAAAGTATTCTGTTCCAATCCAGAGTTAAATTTTTTTTTCTATCTTGTTTCTGAATTCATAACTTAACTCAGTCTCTGTTTGGTTCCTATTTTTATTAAACGTGTCACTCCGCGAGTATCATTTTATTTTGGTTATCTCTTTTAGACTGGGGAACCCAGGCTTCATAAAGCCTTCTGGTTTCTTCAGGGCTCCCTTGCAACCTTACAATTCCTACATGTGTTCTTGTATTGTATTGTGTTTTGGCTGAATAAAAATGAACTGAACTGAACGCCTTGCTAAAGTTTGAAATCTCGGCAACGCGAAACTGCAAACGCGTAACTGCGGTTTGCGGACTACGGTTTGCGGTTTACCTGATGCTAAAGGTCTCTAATAGCCAATTAAGTTGTTCACCATAAATAGATATCATACTTACTCGAGCAGACCACAGATGCATCCTCACTGTGACCACAGTTATGAACACCCCATGAAGAGTGATTACAATTCCCAATGGACCTTTCATTTCCCTGACATTGAACATCGTCCAGCCAAATCTTTCCACTCCCTTGGCCAAACCGTGCCCAGTGTGGAGCACTGACAGCAGAAGGATACCCAAGTTGACGACAGACAACTCGCGCATCATTTATATCCCACAAATCGTCGCAAACAGTTCCCCATCTACCTCTATAATAGATCTCCACTCTGCCCTCTCCGGGCCAATTTCCTCCAACCAATCTCACACCTGACGTATAAAAAGTTGCGTTTTATTTACTGAGTTTAGGGAAGTAAATTGACGCCCTTCAAGAGATTCTACTCACGAAAAAAGCTAATAATGAATGAGGCTACCTATGAGTACTGCAAGTTTATGCATAGTTATATTCTTGCTTCTCATTACCTTAATACACCATAGGTCAAATGAGAGAAAGTCCCATAAAGCGGTTCATGACTGAATATAAGCTACTAGGCCGGTAATCTGTACAAATGTTTCAGTTATACATACACGACCAAATCAAGGAGGGTAGAAGGGCTATCTCTCCTCAACAGAGCATGAAATAGTAAAGGCAAACCTGGGTCCTACGAGTAAAAGAGTGATAAACAAGAAAAAAAATCACGAATCCCTGAAATCGTCGTTGTAAATCGTCTCGTGTAATTATCACCTTAATTACAGGCATAACTTATCTCTCAAATGTATTATTTTAAGAATAAAATGCTAAAATAAATATTTCAGTATGTTCACGTCGTTGTTAACTGGGTATCTGAGGGGATCAAAATTCAAAATGGAGGTTCTATAAAGTCATATGACGTTAGAATCCTGTTTTCAGTGATTCACGTAACACTCTTAGCTTAAGCTTTGGGTGCTTTTAGCTTATCCTAGGGAGCATTTTTTTTACGTCATTTTCGCTGTCTTCGTTTTCATATTTGCTTCAGATTCCTAACATATTAAACAAGGCACTTTAGATCTGTCAGAGGATTATTCTTTTTTCTGCTTGACCAATAATTTGTATGAGTTTTAGATACTTACTCATTGGTGAAGGCCGAGTGGTGGGCATTGCTAAAAAAAATTCGAAAAAGTAGAAATGAATTAAAATTTTGTGCATAATACAATAAACTAATTGTAATATAAGCACAAACGTGTTATTAGCACAAGGTTTAATTCGCAGGGTTTTGTGTGTAGCTAAGTTAATGGGATATGTTTGAAACGTAAATAAGAGAATAATGAGTTTGACATCAAAACATCTACTTGTTGACTGCAATTTGTTTAGAGAGGTCGACAGTACATTTAAATGTCACCAGGGGATGTTATTCGTTGAGTCCCAGCAAGAATAACCTTCGCCAAGAATGTGCTGAGGTCTCAGGAATTATACTTCCGTTTAATTACAACCTCTAAAATAACTTTACTTTAATGCCCTAAGATTCCTTCTCCGTCCAATTATACCCTCTTGTCTTCACAAAATTGGCAGATTCCCTTTGATCATTGATATGAATAAAAAGATACTTAATTATTTAAACTATCTTGAAAAGATGATGAAAAGATGAAAATTCTATAGTTAAACAATCTTTAAAAATATCTGTTGACCTTTATCATAGTGGTCAAAATAGTTTTTACTCCACTCTTAAGAAGATGACTGACTACTATGATTTCCCAGGCTTTAATTGTAATTTATTGAATAAACGTAAAATTAAGCAATATGTATATCTTATGCAAAAGAAATATATCTCTTACTGGAATCATGCCCTTCAACATTCACAAAAACTTAACTTTTATTATAAAATCAAAACGAATTATAGCCCTTCTGCCTACCTAGATCTAACAAGAAACAACCCTTCTAGGAAAACATTAGTGAAACTGAGAATAAGCAGTCACAAACTTAGGATCGAGACAGGTAGATACGACAATATATCACGTGACGAAAGGTTATGCAATCTCTGCAATTGTAACAGAATTGAAGATGAAACTCACTTTTTATCAGATTGTCCAAGTTTTTCTTCGATAAGAGATATGTTCTTCTCTAAACTAGAACCTAAAATACCGTTTATACGACTACATTCACATGAGTCCTTATTATCACATCTGATGAATTCTACTGACTATTTTATTAACATCCAATTAATTTCATTTATATCAACTTGCTTTGAATTGAGAGACAAACTTATCTCCGGAATAATTAATCCTACTGATGGTTAGAAATAAGCAATGATTAATACGTTTAAAATTATTCTAAATATTTAATTTGCAAGGAATCAATGATTAATTTCAAGTAGCTTTTGCAATACTGTAATATTTTGTTATGGTCATGCAAGTAATGCTTATTGTTGTTGCTGTTGTTGAATGTTAAATTAATTTTCTTTTCCGCTTGACTGAATTAATATAAACAAAACAACAACAAAAAAAACAAAACGAAAAAACAAAACAACAAAAACATCAAAACAACAGTAAAACAACAAAAAACAAACAACAACAACAACAAAAACAACAACAAATTTTATTGAAAATTGGAAAATTTGATAAGTTTTTTTGTAATATCCAGAATAATCAGCCTCGTCCGGATAATACCACTTACCGAGACCTGCCATTGATTATTCAAAATATCGCAAAGACCGAATCCAACAATTGATTGTCACACGGAACACATTTGACATATTTGCCGGTTTGGTTTGAAAATCGTACAATGCGAGCGCAACGTATAAATATAAGGCCAGATAACTCAATAACTTGTAGGTTACGATGATTAGTTTCAAAATTAGCTAAAAGTAGTCTCTTAGCCAATGAGAAGACAGAAACTGGGGTGAGTATAATGAAAAATAATTAAACTTAACTAATGAATACCTGGCGAAGGTGTAATTATACCTGGGACTGGACTCGTTGATAGGGCTGCAGGAACAAAGAAAACACCAACTAACAATGCATTAAAGGTGCAATAAGGTCACGAGGATATTGCTGTTGTAGGTCAATTCCCTACTATAGTCATAACTTAGTGTCTTTACCTAAACACAACATGCTCTTGCTGAGTTATGAAGATGTTAGGGACCGGTCATTTCTTATCCCCTGGGTGTTGGGGGAGGATGGAGGATTTGGGGCTAAACAAGGTGAAATTTAGCCGATCCCTCCTTTGAATGTTACTTCACTGGAGTGATTCCCCCTAATAAGTCCCCTAATAACTTTTGATGACTTTCGCGACTGTCGAGTGGTCACCCCTCTGAATCCCTCTAAAGTTTTCAGTGATCCCCCCTTTTGGGTTCTTAGTTACGACTGATCTCCCCTATTGTTCTCCCCAAAATCAAGTGATCCCCCCTAAAATCCCCCCCCGGCGATAAATAATGACCGGTCCCTTATCAAACAAATTCCGTCTGGAAGCACTAGCCATAATATTTTTTTTGGTAATTTTTGCAGACATAGTATTAGGAGGGTCTGGATGGGGTTAACTGACAACTGACAAATGGCCAAAATTTTAACTGACAACTGTCAAAAGATCTTATTGCCCTAAATATCCTTCAAAACCCGTTGTAAATAACAATGTTTTACTCTTTTCGTCATACAAATGTACGTTTTATATTAAATCTTAGCAGCAGGACGCTTGATTGTCATATTTCGTTAATAATTTACTGTATGACCCATGTACATCAGGGTCATAATTTTCACCTCTGATCTCGAACTTACAAACTCACGCTGAGCAGTCCCGAGCACGCGCCAGCTTAAATGATGGCTGCCAATGCTGGCGTTATTAAAGCGATTGTAAGCTTTTACCGCGTTAATTCGGATACGGCATTCGAAAGACATAGAGGCCGTATTCTGATAAATGACTTAAATACAGTACATGCTCTCAAAAAGCACCTTATTTCAATTCCTTGGTCTGAAGGAACTAACAATTAAATACGGTCTTGGAGATTTCGATATAAAGCTTTATCGGATGGCACCGAAACCGGGCGGGAAAAGTGATAACTTCGCCACCGCAACGGACGACCAGTGGAAGCTGGAGCTTCCAAGTTTGCTGGATGACTCAGGAAGCGAAATGAACAGTATGTATTCTTAGTGCTTGTGTATTTGTTTCATGTAGTGGTGAAAATATAAGCATGCAAGTTTGTCCGGAAACCGTCTGGGTACTGCTACGCTTTCAGAATATTTTCGCTCTTGTTTTCACGTAATGGACTATGTAACATTTATCACAATTGAGCCATTGACAAACAATACCCAATCAAATCAAATGAACAAAAAAAGAAAGAACTCTTCCGATATTTGTTTGTCTTTCTCACGATATACTTCAAATATTTTGAAGGTGAATATTGATGAGCTAAGGGTCTAAGGGTTAGAGAGGAATGTTATGCTCGGGCAAGCAGGAGAGTAACGATAGAAAGCCGCTTGTAATGAATTCAACTCCAAATTTGAAAAAAAGGTTATTAGTGTAGCAATTTTCGAATTAGTGATACAATTTACATTTAATGTGCCTTTTGAGCTAAATTTTCGCTAAAAAAGAAATAACTAAATTACTTAATTAATTATTAACAGCCAATTAACTGATAAGTGGCCAAAATTTTAACTGACAACTGACATTTGTAACCCCCCGCCCCCATCCAGACCCTCTAATAGACCTTAGCACCTTAGAAAAGTTGGCCAATTTTTTTCAAGTATCAATCCATTTCCAACCTTTACTAGAGGAAATAAAAGTAGGTCGTGTTTAAATGTCCGGAGGGCAGGCACATAAGGGAAAGTTGAACAGAGGTGTGCCGCAGAGGTCTTCAAACCCTGGCCTTGTTTTAGAAAAAACTGTTCACCTTGCTATCCTGTAAATTTAAAACATGAGAATTCTCAGTTAATAACCCTGATTTATTTTGTTTCCATACAGAATAAAGACATTTTTTTAAACTAACATCGTGGAAAAAGATCATTTTTGAAAGAAAAATTATTGGTGCCACACATGTATACCGCTCATCGCCAACCTTCATACACTTTGAAAAAGAGAAAGGTTTCGAGCAAAAGAGACAACATTTTCGAGACACTAAATAGTGAAATTGTATACCTTTTTTGAGACTGAAGACCCTGAAAACCATAACCCTGTTCGGCAGCACATCAGTTGATCAACTTACGGAGCAAGCATAATAGTTACTCATTGATTACTCACGTTTAATTGACAACTGTGCTTCTGCACGGGGTCCTTCCCCCATTGAATTAGATCCAACGCAGCCATACCAACCCTCATCTTTCTTTGCTACGGATCTTATTATCAAAGTTGTTGATGTGCAAAGGCTGCAAGATTCCCCTGGCAGATCATTTCCATTAAACTGCCATTTGTGAGCTGTGGCTGGTGGATTACCGGTTGTTTTACAGTAGAAAGATGCTGTCTCTCCTTCTGTCAATACGATGCTTTGAGGATGATCAGAAGGAGACTGAACAACCGGCCGATCTGAAAACATAAACATAAAGACGGGATCAGAAAAATCAAATCCTAAGACCCCATTTATTCCCGGCCGAGGCAACTTTAGTGAGCGTCTCTATGAGAAAACAATTGACCCCTTTGTCCGGGACAAGGGCTGACAACAGCGGTTGCGCATGCTCTGATTGTCTCTCCTCTTGATCGTGTTGACCCGGCTGGGCAAGCCAAAGTGATTTATATGAAGAAAGGTAGGTCCGGCTAGGACCTAGGCTATGTACCTTTGAGAAAGAGTGATCCGGCTAAGTCGCCTTTCTAGCAGGGCCAGCTTTGTTTATAATGTAAACGGTTCGCCCAGTTTTGTTACAAAATGTAAAAAAAGTTGGTTCGCCCAGAGTAGCTCGAGTAGGCGAGCCTGCTACCTACTTAATCATTGACAAGTATGCCTAAGCAACACTGTAACGCTGGTTTAGGAAAATCTAATGCGATCAAGGATTTCGGTTTTCGTTTTACTTCTTCCCACACAATTGACAAATCCCAGCGAAACAAGAAATATTCCGTAAGCTACCTTATCTGGATTCAGTGGAGGACTTCTTCCACTGACCAATGCAGATAAATCAGAAACCACCGCGGAGGTGTTTTGAATTTCAATCCTTGGGGTATTTCAAATCGCCAATATCAGTGTTCTAGTAAGAACAATAGGTCGGGACTTGTCAGCCTTTTCGACTAAGGATGATAAACACTTAATGACTGGTCTCGAGGGAAACAAAATTAACTGTTTCCCAAAGGGACTAGTCTTTTACTGATTTGTTAAATAGCTGGAAACTTGCTTTGAAAACTTTTAAATCTCGTTGTAACGGCCGTCGTCGTCAACGTTCGAGAGTAACATTGCACTGTTACCCCTCTGACGTCATAGATTTTGCAATGTTGCCAGCTCAGAGATTTTTTGTCAAGGTGAGGGGGGGGGGGCTTAGATTATTGCTGTTGAGTCTTATCGGTTACTTACATCTGACTTCAAGTTCTGTCCTCTGTGTTCTTGTTCCTGCCTCATTGATTGCCACACAAGAAAAATTCCCATACTGCTGCCAGGTGAGATGCTTTATGTTTAGGTATGCAAAAGTCGTGAAGATCTTCGAAGAAGGCCCGATAATCCTTTCTGTGATGTTATAAGGTGGGGTGTGTGTCAGATTCTTCCCATTCAGCATCCAAACAAATACTGCATAAGGTTTCGCTTCAGCGACACATGTATACTCCACAGATTCATTCTCGTTCCTTATAAGTTTAGTTGTGGGCAGTGTATGAGGAGGATTAAATCTTGGACGACCTGAGAAAGATAATGGAAAATCAGTAGGTGACGCATTTTTATCATTTATCTTGCGGATAAATGAGCTTTTCGTCAAGACAAACGGAGGTGTCCGTTATATACGGGTTTCCGTATTAAGAGAGTGTCCGTAGAACGGGGTTCCACTGTTTACAGCTGAGTGACCGCTGCCCTGTCGTAGAAAGGGAAGATCAGAGTTATGATTTAACCGACCATGTTAACAAAATCTGCGTTTCCTGTCAGTATCATTTAAGGAATGTAGCTAAGATCAGGAAGATACCTCTCAAATTTTAGTGCATGCGTTTATTAGCTCTAAACCCGATAACTGTAACTCTTTGTTATATGGTCTTCCTGTTAAACACCTGTTAAACAGGTTAAGATTGATACAAAACACTGCTGCACGCATTGTTACATTATCTAAGCGGTTTGACCATATCATTCCTATCCTGTTCAAAATTCATTGGTTACCGCTAAATTATCGTATACATTTTAAAATTTTACTCTTAGTTTACAAATGTCTAAATGGCTTGGCACCAACTTACCTATCCGAACTTTTCCGCTACACCAATTGTCCACGATTACTTCGTTCTAGTTCCCAGAATTTTCTAGCCGTGCCTAGGACTAGGTTAAAGACGTATGGTGATAGGGCTTTTTCCGCAGCTGCTCCTAGGTTATGGAACCAATTGCCCCCTGAACTCAGGGGTGATACATCTGTCGACCAGTTCAGGACGCAATTGAAGACATACTTATTTAAATTAGCCTACGATGTTTGATTTTAGTAGCTTTATTTTATTTTGTTTTATCTTGCAATAGAGACAACATTTTTGAGACACTAAATAGTGAAATTGTATACCTTTTTTGAGACTGAAGACCCTGAAAACCATAACCCTGTTCGGCAGCACATCAGTTGATCAACTTACGGAGCAAGCATAATAGTTACTCATTGATTACTCACGTTTAATTGACAACTGTGCTTCTGCACGGGGTCCTTCCCCCATTGAATTAGATCCAACGCAGCCATACCAACCCTCATCTTTCTTTGCTACGGATCTTATTATCAAAGTTGTTGATGTGCAAAGGCTGCAAGATTCCCCTGGCAGATCATTTCCATTAAACTGCCATTTGTGAGCTGTGGCTGGTGGATTACCGGTTGTTTTACAGTAGAAAGATGCTGTCTCTCCTTCTGTCAGTACGATGCTTTGAGGATGATCAGAAGGAGACTGAACAACCGGCCGATCTGAAAACATAAACATAAAGACGGGATCAGAAAAATCAAATCCTAAGACCCCATTTATTCCCGGCCGAGGCAACTTTAGTGAGCGTCTCTATGAGAAAACAATTGACCCCTTTGTCCGGGACAAGGGCTGACAACAGCGGTTGCGCATGCTCTGATTGTCTCTCCTCTTGATCGTGTTGACCCGGCTGGGCAAGCCAAAGTGATTTATATGAAGAAAGGTAGGTCCGGCTAGGACCTAGGCTATGTACCTTTGAGAAAGAGTGATCCGGCTAAGTCGCCTTTCTAGCAGGGCCAGCTTTGTTTATAATGTAAACGGTTCGCCCAGTTTTGTTACGAAATGTAAAAAAAGTTGTTTCGCCCAGAGTAGCTCGAGTAGGCGAGCCTGCTACCTACTTAATCATTGACAAGTATGCCTAAGCAACACTGTAACGCTGGTTTAGGAAAATCTAATGCGATCAAGGATTTCATTTTTCGTTTTACTTCTTCCCACACAATTGACAAATCCCAGCGAAACAAGAAATATTCCGTAAGCTACCTTATCTGGATTCAGTGGAGGACTTCTTCCACTGACCAATGCAGATAAATCAGAAACCACCGCGGAGGTGTTTTGAATTTCAATCCTTGGGGTATTTCAAATCGCCAATATCAGTGTTCTAGTAAGAACAATAGGTCGGGACTTGTCAGCCTTTTCGACTAAGGATGATAAACACTTAATGACTGGTCTCGAGGGAAACAAAATTAACTGTTTCCCAAAGGGACTAGTCTTTTACTGATTTGTTAAATAGCTGGAAACTTGCTTTGAAAACCTTTAAATCTCGTTGTAACGGCCGTCGTCGTCAACGTTCGAGAGTAACATTGCACTGTTACCCCTCTGACATCATAGATTTTGCAATGTTGCCAGCTCAGAGATTTTTTGTCAAGGTGAGGGGGGGGGGCTTAGATTATTGCTGTTGAGTCTTATCGGTTACTTACATCTGACTTCAAGTTCTGTCCTCTGTGTTCTTGTTCCTCCCTCATTGATTGCCACACAAGAAAAATTCCCATACTGCTGCCAGGTGAGATGCTTTATGTTTAGGTATGCAAAAGTCGTGAAGATCTTCGAAGAAGGCCCAATAATCCTTTCTGTGATGTTATAAGGTGGGGTGTGTGTCAGATTCTTCCCATTCAGCATCCAAACAAATACTGCATAAGGTTTCGCTTCAGCGACACATGTATACTCCACAGATTCATTCTCGTTCCTTATAAGTTTAGTTGTGGGCAGTGTATGAGGAGGATTAAATCTTGGACGAACTGAGAAAGATAATGGAAAATCAGTAGGTGAATCATTTTTATCATTTATCTTGCGGATAAATGAGCTTTTCGTCACGACAAACGGAGGTGTCCGTTATATACGGGTTTCCGTATTAAGAGGGTGTCCGTAGAACGGGGTTCCACTGTTTACAGCTGAGTGACCGCTGCCCTGTCGTAGAAAGGGAAGATCAGAGTTATGATTTAACCGACCATGTTAACAAAATCTGCGTTTCCTGTCAGTATCATTTAAGGAATGTAGCTAAGATCAGGAAGATACCTCTCAAATTTTAGTACATGCGTTTATTAGCTCTAAACTCGATAACTGTAACTCTTTGTTATATGGTCTTCCTGTTAAACACCTGTTAAACAGGTTAAGATTGATACAAAACACTGCTGCACGCATTGTTACATTATCTAAGCGGTTTGACCATATCATTCCTATCCTGTTCACACTTCATTGGTTACCGCTAAATTATCGTATACATTTTAAAATTTTACTCTTAGTTTACAAATTTCTAAATGGCTTGGCACCAACTTACCTATCCGAACTTTTACGCTACACTAATTGTCCACGATTACTTCGTTCTAGTTCCCAGAATTTTCTAGCCGTGCCTAGGACTAGGTTAAAGACGTATGGTGATAGGGCTTTTTCCGCAGCTGCTCCTAGGTTATGGAACCAATTGCCCCCTGAACTCAGGGGTGTTACATCTGTCGACCAGTTCAGGACGCAGTTGAAGACATACTTATTTAAATTAGCCTACGATGTTTGATTTTAGTAGCTTTATTTTTTAACTCTAGTTTTTAACTCTAGTTTCTTACCATATTATTGAACAGCGCTTTGAGCAATTAGTGCGGATACCGCGTTATATGAGTGTCTATTATTATTATTATTATTATTATTATAATTATTATTATTATTATTATTAAAGGGAAGCTCGATGGCCTATAACGACGTTCCGTTGTCAACTGTGTTGTTTAATAATTACGTGTATGATTAAGCTATACGTTTGTGAAGTTCTCTTATAATATCTGAGGCAAAAGGATGGTGAATTTCTTCAAGTTAATTTCATTGATATAATTAAGCGACTTGACGTTACTACAATTTAAGGGTACCCGACAAAGCTATTTTTTAAGGATTTTTAAATTTCTTTGGAATGCTGTTTAATTATGTTGTCCAACATAGTATTTTTATTTTACATGCATACTCACCGATTACAACAAGTTCAACAGCGTTTTGCACATCAGGGGGATTAAATGACATGAAAGATAGGTCGCATTTAAATATCCGGCTGTCACTTTGAACAATGTTCGATATTCTGAATGTAATCTTTCCAACATTTGCTGTCAATGATCCGAAGAAGGTGATCCTTCCGGAGTAGAAACTTGCCGGATTCACTTGAAGTCGGGAGGTAGGTGTCCTCTCGGCCACAGTCACATCATTATTTCCTGTGCCAACGTATTTCAGAGCTACTTCTTTGATTGTACGTCCATCAGTGTTGTAGTTCCAGGACAAATCAAATGAACTGGATCCGCTCGTTACATAAAGTTTATTCCCAATGACTGGAGTTAAAGTCGGTTCAGAATCTACCAAAGAAACTAAAGAGTTCAAACTTTCTAAAATCGAAAAGGAAGAGATAAAGTTTTATATATTGTTGTTTCAATGAGGTTTTTAGTCAAGCTGGCTTTAAATGATTTGGTAAGGGTACAAAATTTTATTGTGTGTGTTTCGTCCCAGCTACGATAGCCAAGCAACTCACCCATAAGAGATCAAACCTCGTCAAACATGACGTTTGAAGTCCGGCTGATAAACAAAATGATGATAATATAATCCTTATATCGCTTATAACGATTTATAATAGGCCATTTTAGATCCGGAGTTTAAATTAATGAAAAATTCATTCTAATAGGCTTTGAGGCCTTTGATGTTTAAGGATTTGCCTAGGGGTTTACCTCATATATGGGCCGAAAATATGTTCAGGAACATGATTAATTTGTAATACCGTAAACTGCCGCTTACAAGTTCCCCGGCCCACCTATGACCCCCCCCCACCTATTATAAGCCCGTCTCCATGTAAACAACAAAAAAAATACATCCGATTATAGCCCCCCCTATACCATTAACTTACTGCCCGGCGTCAGATAAAGGCTTTTAATCGGCCGTTGAATGAGTTTTATTGTTTTAAATTGCCAAGTAGTAGAATGAGTTGATATTTTTGCTAACCTGGTTTTCAAAAATCCAGGTACATATACATATTAAATTTGCTTCAGGTAATAAACTTTAAACCATTACAAAGAAATCCACAAATCTATACTTAACTTTAGGAGAAAAACACGTGACCTCGATGAGTTGGCACCTGAGCCCGCAATACGGTCATGTGACCCTGATCAGCGGATACACTGTTTTGACAGCTGTCAATTGACCACAGATATATTTTTCTGGAGGGGAATACTTAAGAGGGACTGTGTCACGGCTATCTATTTCGTATTGTAAATAATAGGGAACTTTTGCAAAGACGTTTTTGAGCGACGCATGTCAACCGGAAGTGAGGCCTTCTCCCTTTTTATCTGCCTTGACGCTAACAAATTTGTATTGCTAAGTTTCTTTTCTCTTATAAAGACGATTTACGATAGACTGCGTAGCATGGCGGTTTTGTCGGGAACACTACTTAGCGGCGAAGCCGCGTCAAAAATAAGAACTGCCTGCCTGGATTCGTGGCCTTTTCAACTGCCACCCCCTTCAACTCATTTTGAGATCCTGTTGACAACTTGTTTAGTTTTTCGCTGTTCCCGCCCCAATATTCTCTCTCGATTTCTCAGCCCTCTCCCGCCTGACCGCCCGCCTATATTACTTAGCGCGCCCAACCAAAACCGCCACGCTGAGCAGGCTAGATTTACCCGAGAGTTTGAACCAAACCACTGCCCAATGATGCAAAAAGTCCACTTATGGTTGTTGACGCCCCTCGCTCAAAAACGCTGTTGCTTAAGCGTTACATGTGAACGACATGTGAACGACAAAAGCAAACAAATATGACTACCAAGCATTATTTCAAACGTTGCAAACAACACTGTTGTTAAAAATAAACTTTGAAAAACTGCTAGGCTTGCAAGTTTTCAAAAACCACAATTGCAATGAGTTTGAATCTTTTTCAAGTTTGTCGATCCGTTCCTCTTTTTGTTTCGTTTTGTTCCTCCTTTCAATTGGTACTTATTTTAATAATTTCGCGATTTGACGAGACAGTATTTTTCGAGTTTTATCTTCGCGATTTTGACTGCAAATATGAAAAAGGGCATCGAAATTTGCGATTTCAGCGTTCTCAACTTCATTTTATTTATTTTTTTAAAGTTTGAACTCTTTAAGATTTTTATATAACCTGGAACAAGTAATGTAGGAAATCTTTACAAACCAACGTCATTTCATAACTGAAGATACAAATCAGAGTTTACAGTAAATATCCTGAATATGTTGTTGCCATTACAAGTTAATTTAGACTTTCCAAAACTGTCCTTCGTCCGATTTGATATAGTGCATTGGCCGCTTCGCTGCCTAAAAAGCTCGCTCTACTCCTCTCCGCTCGCTAAGAAACTTGTGAGGTAGACTTGTAGCAAGTCTAAAGTTAATTTTGTTTTGAATATTTTATGCGTGGAATTCAAGAATGAGGAGCGAAAATAATAAAATTGTGGAGGAGGGAATGAAAAAAAATCGAGGAGGGAAACGTGGTAAAAAAAGATAGCTTGCTTTCTTTGACTATTTTAATAGATTTCTTTCAAATCGCTGGGTATTTGACTCTTTTTGTTTTAAACGGTATCTCGTGTCTGATTTTATTGCTAGCAATTATTAGTCGCGTGTTTAATCAATTGATCCTTGTCAGGTTATTAATTAGTTTTGTGTGTGTGTGTGTGTTTATACTAATACGTCAAGATTCTCTACCTTGGGTCTAGCTGTAAAGATGAACTAATTTGTATTCAACTTTGGGCTTATGAACTCGCATAATTAACTGACTAACGGTGCGTGAAACTCTGAGACTTTAATAGGTTTTCATGTCCTCGAGATAGATAGGAGAAAACGGTTCTGTAATAGTCAAACAAACTTGAAATAAAGAGTTTTCAGCTCCTCTCCTCTGTTTGTGTTTTGTTTATATATCTGAGTTTTAGCGCTAAATAAGATATAGGAAGCCGTTTCTCGCGTTGCTAGGTGATCGCTTCTCTTATTCCTATTTTCCTTTTAATAGACGGTCCGACAACCGGGCTCAAGTTACTTAACGGGCAAGCCTATTGTAGTATTCGCTCATTAGTAAACCTATACCGAATTAGTATGAAGGAAGACACTTACTTAATATGGAGGAAGGCATATTTTCCCTAGGTTATAACAATGGGTGACGTCATAGACTCGACCCATATGCATATTAATTAAGGGAACGCACACGGAACGCAAGGGAACGTACCCACGAGGCTTATCTTTGACCCTAGTATACTACTTTTAGCCCTGGCTAAATCTATATATTATTGTATTTCGTGACACAGCTCCTTTAAGGTCTTTTTTTTCCTGATCGTAAACTAAAGGTCAGTGACATGAATAATTTAGTGCTTGATGCCGATCATCATATTCGATAATCATGTGAAGTTCTTGAAATGTATCTACATAAATAAATAAAATGATGTCATTTGATTTCGTTTCTTAAACCATTCACCAACTGGTCCTTTATTTCAAGATTTCTTGAGATATAATTGTTCACATGGCCCTATTAGTGACTTTAAAAAGTGGATCATAGTCCCAGGCGTTACTAGCGGAGACCGTGGAAACTGGGGATAAGCATCGCGACGTGACTGATAGCCTGCTGCAACGCCGGCTTCGTGACTAACAACATACAGAAATATAAAGGTTTTTCAGAGAGTAATGAAGAAAGCTTTGGAAAGGTCAATTAGAAAAATGCCGAAAACGGAACGGGTTGGTCCACGAGTTCTATCACTTGAAAGTGTTAATTACTTTGAAACAAGTAAATACTTCAATCGTCGAAAAAGAGAAGGATCCTCATGAGCAAAAGTTCGATAGGGAAGCAGTCTGGTCTGGTGTTGCAAACTTTCATTGTATGCAAATGAGTCTTGTGATGAGCATGCGGTTTATGTCGGCGATTATTGAAATGACACGCCATGTTCATCACGTTTCTGCTCTTTTTCTCTCGAATCGAGGCTCTTGCATTGATTTTCATATATTTATAGACGCGTGCTCAATTAATTCAGAAACAAATCGTCGATTATGAATATCCTGTTGTAAACGAGATAGGACTTGGCAATAGCTCAAGAACACGTGATGTAAATAGGCGTTAGAGAGATCATAGGATGTAATCAGATCATTCATTGACTCTCGAGTTGGTATGGGTTTTATATCGTCTGTATAACTCGGAAAGGCAAGTTATTAAGAGTCAATGTACGGAAAAATTATTTAAAAGTCGGAATAAAGAGTATGGTCATTTCCAACATATCCTTAAGAAGACTCGACCGTCGATAGAGTAGGATGTGAAAAACTTTAAGCAAGAAAATCCTGTTTCGTGAAAACTTAATCGCTTCTTCATTTCTTATCTTTTCTCCAAACAAGCTCAACGCAAAGCCTATACAAGCGTTCTTGTTCTAACTGTAATGGATATCGTTTCCAGTTTTACCCGAATCAAAGTTCGACAGTAAGCATATATCTACCACTATAATACTACCGTAAAATTCCGAAAATAAGCCCCTCCAAATATAATCTCCCCAATCCGGTTACGCGAAAAACCCTCCGTTAAATCGCCCCTCCAAATATAAGCCCCCCGGGGGCATGTACTTGGGAAATTGTCCTCAAATACAACGTAAAACAAAGCAAAAACGGTAAATTTACTTCTAACTATAAGGCTAGCCCAATCGATTTTGAGACGCAAATTTCCCCCCGTATATAAGCCCCTCCGAATAAAAAGGGCCTTTGAAAAATATAATTCCCGGGGCTTGTTTTCGGAATTTTACCGTATTAACTACGGCAATATCCAAATTAACAGAACTTTTTTCCAAGGGCAATATTAATTAGGCTTGCAGCGAAGACATCCACAAAAACGCAGCTTCTCGATAATGATGGCCGTATTCACACTAGAGACGGGCTATCCGTTGGATAATTCGCGTCAGGCAGATAATATATACGCCTTAATTTGAAAATGGAACGGTCTTAATTTTGGATGGACAATCCGCCTGACTTTATCCATCTGTTTTTTCGTCAATTTTGACGGATTTTGAACGATGGTTAACTTTGGAGAACTTTAAGACTGAATGTCTTAAAAATACCCAGTTGCAAGTCCGTTTTAATCGATCGAAGCAATTTCACCCATTCATTCATTTATTTGCTATTTTGTTTGACCATTTTCTCAATCAATGAACGAAATGAAGTGGTTTATATTGTAAGTATTGCACTCAGTTATGTAACAAAATTTGGTTAAATTTCTAAATTCCAACAAATCACCGTACCATATTGCTGCAGTAAGGAGAGAATCAAGAGGCTTGAAAATGTCCAGCGGGAAATTCTATCAGCAGATGCCTCCATCGTATTTGAAAAAAAAGGCAATCAATGAATTGCAATTCCCTCAAATTCAAGTGACTGACATTCAGAGTCGAGGATAACTAACAACAATTAATCTGCTGAGGGTCTGTTGACTAATAACATCACGAACAACGCTCAAGCACTTTATTCGGTTCAAAGCTGGGAACGTTGATTGGGTAGTTGAAAAGGTATTTACGTAATTTGTGAAGTACCTGATTTCTCAACGTAATTAATATCACCTCGAAGAGGCCTTCCCTGTCAGCTACGTGACACGAACCACGAAGAGGATATATAGGTGATATTACTTCTTAACCAGGCGAGGCAAAGAAGTGTGAGATCAACTGTACAGTAGATTTAACATCAAGCAAGCCGACTTTGCATTTTAATGCGGTGGGTAAGATGACGCATATTTAAAAACAAAATGGTGTTTGACGGACGCAATGATGATTTTCCTTTTCACGCCGAGAAGTTTGGAAATTTGTGGTGAAGGGAATGGCGTGTAGCCCTACTCTGTGAATGCCTTTTTCAGGGTTAATTTTCGTCGAAAATATTCAAGTCGACGTGGGGGAAAGGTGGGGGAGGGGTGGGGTTTCAGCTAGAAACTTCGAAGGCGTCTCCATAATCTCTAATTAACTGCTTGTCTCAGCTAGTAGTGACAACTAACTTCGTTAGAGGGAGAAGAAAAAGGAAAAGAAGAATCCATGATAGAGAATTGTGCTGAGCTGATACAGCTGGCACAGAAAAAATACGATTATTCCAAAGTTCATTCTGTAAAGGCAGTTTTAAAATGTAGTCCATAATCACAATGTTTGTGAGAGATTGTCATTTTTGTGGTGGGATGCCAGCTGGGGTGCCAGCTGCTAGAAATGCTCAGGGAACCTTAGCCTGAAAGGAAGTTAAGAAATGTAAGTTTTCGTTGATATTATTATCATTTCTGACACTATCAGTTCGTAAGGAACTGTCGACTGATTCGAAGGTCTGAATATTATTCGACAGTCAGGTGGCGCGAATGCCTTCCCATGTACATAACTTTGTCAGGGACTAGCAGATCAGTCTCACCCAGGTAATAATAAGCAAAGAAAGTTTCTGGTTAATGCATGATCGTTTTCGCCTGACCTATTTTGCCACAAGGGCATACAACAAACGCGCCCCAGTTGCTTTTGTGCATACTGGATACTGGCCTCAACACTTATCAATACAACTTGATAATGGAACTGAGTTATCTCAATAATAAAAACTTGATATCAGACTTTCAGCCCGTAAGGGCTGATCACGTGTTGCGCAAAAAACCTTTCAAATAATACTTTCATAAATAACAAAAAAGGACGACCAAACTAGATCCTCAATCACATTAGGACATTGCCGGGGGAACATTCTATCATTTCAAATTGTTGTTGTTGTGTTGTCGTCATTCCAATCTTTCTATCGTGAAAATTCTTAGTGCTTTTGCACTGTGTTGGTTGCTCTTTGGAGGAAATAATACAGATCTAAGTATTTCAGAGAACGTTTCAGGTTGCAATTAAGACATGAGTATAATCCGTCTGGGCCAAAAATTGTAAATACATATTTTGTTGTGAACGGATGGCCATTTCTAACAGCCCACGGACTGGTTGTGCCGCGATTGAGAGGCACTGGGCAGGCGTTTTTCGCTCGAGATATGAATGACTAAGATTCCGCGATACGGTAAAGGCTTCTACAGCCGCAGAAACTCCTTGGCATACAAAGTAATTTTAAGTTCAAGGGAAACAAAGATTTTATTATCATTTATAGAGAAGTTGGCTTTTAATGTGACTTTTCGTAATTTACCTAAACCTTTGATTTAGCACATGACTTTCATCTGGTATTTGCACGTGCGGCAAACCTTACTTTGATGATAATGATAATGATAACGATATTATGATAATGATGATGATGATGATATTATTATTGAATGTGTTAATTATAATTAAATAATAATAATACAATTAAGGTTAACAAAAGACATTATGTGGAAAAATTGCTCTTATGCTAATATATATATATGTGTTTATTGTTCGATGAAATCATTCTGAAATTACTAGTGAAACTCCGAATTTTCTTCGAAATCCGTTTCAAACTCTCGGAAATATGAGTGCCAGAAATCACGCGGAGGCATGAAGCCTCTTTTACCTCCCGTATTTGAAATCAAAACAATAGGATCTGATGTCCGGCTGTATTATTTACCTCGTTGTACTGTATATCTTAGATCAATTGTTTAAGAGAAGAATTGGTATATTCGAAAACAAAAACATTTCAATATCACCAGGGTAACCGCTACAAGGTAAAGGCAGCTACTAGTACTGACCTTAAGATACACTGTTTCTGCCTACCGGCGCCCATTATTTCCCAGATGTGATAATGGCGTTACAGTTCTACCCATTAGCCTACCCGTTTCTCCGGGATAAGAGGTAATCTACCCGTATTTACGACTACGCCGGTACGGGTAATTTACTACCTGTACACGGAAATGGTGTATCTCTAGGTCTCTATTATAAGGGCCCGTGGCGGTGGAGTAAATCAGTTGCCAAGTTTCTTTATCACGGTGACATTTATTGCATCTCTTACATTACGAAAATTATTGCTACTAAAGTTTACAACTGAAGGAGCTCTTAATAGTTAGACTAATACGACGACCTCTACCCTTTTTAATACATAAAAATAATAATTATTAGTAAAAATAGGCCATCTCCGAGTTCCAGAAACTCTCACTTTCAAAACGAGGTTAATTAAGTGCAAAACCTTTCTTGTAAAAACGAGTTTTATTTGTATGAGAATAAAAAATCATTTTCATATCAATGGTCTCGCACTTTAGCCTCCCCGCAGACGTCCTTTGGGATTCGTTTGTCACGTATTCATTTCCCCCCGCGGACCCATTTCTCCATTTCTCTCCACTAGGGAGAAATGAATACGTGACAAACGAACCCCAAAGGACGTCTGCGGGGAGGCTACTCGCACTAAACAGAGGCTTGGAGCAACTCGGCAATAGCCTGTTGGTCTGTTGAAGGTTGATTTATTAGCTGCTGATACTTTAATACCATAACGCAGTGCCGTAGCCAGACCAAACGGCCAACTGAGGCAGGCGGGAGTTGCTAGGGGCGTTCGGGGCTATGCCCCCCTCCCCCCCGAGAAATTTTGAACTTTAGTCTCTCGGAAATGCGATTTGCAGCGTTTTCTGCGTTTCCAGTATTAATAGACCATTCCCGCATTCGTCACAAGCACGCGCGCGAAAACATGAAAGTGAGGCTCGGGTGGACAAACATCAAACATGGCGGACAACACCGAGAAGCCTAAGGCGCAAACTGCCAAAGATATCCCGTGGTGTAAGTCTCTTAAAAGCTTGCCAGTGTTTACAAGGAAAGAGATAGATGAACACCGGAACAATAGTGGCAAACGAAAGGCTGACGACGTTTCGAAGCCTATTAAAAAAACCCTGAAGCGCGGCTTAAAATTTCAAGAAGAACGGTATCTTTCATCAGACACAGTGTATACGAAGGTATTTGGTAACTCGTTTATGGTAAAAGCAAAGTGTCGTGCCAGCATGAGTACTCGAGAAATTCACGAACTAGAAGTTTCACTCGATGTAACATCTGGGAATGTACGGGAAGCACACTGTACTTGCAGAGCTGGCAAAAGTGGATACTGTAATCATGTGATGAGTCTTCTACTTGAACTCGCTCGTTACTCTTTGGAAGACTTTGACAGGATACCCGAGGAAGCAGCATGTACAAGTATGTCAAGGAAATGGGGTATTCCAGGTAAAGTATAAATTGATTTCAATTAGCTGTAAGTACCTACCTGTACTTTTGGGCAGCTCACGCAAGTAGTTAACATGACATGTTCGGTTTTCGTCTGCTAGCTGAAGAATTAAACTGATAATAGCATAGGTCATGCTGAAGCACGTCTTGATAAAGTTGTATGATGTGTCTGAAAGTTTTGAAGTGACTTAAGCATTATTCACATAGTGATCAAACTTTTTTCTGTTCTTGTTCTAAGGTGAGAAAGGTCTACCTAAAGAACCCATAATGAAGACATCAGTTCAAAAGGAGTTAACGAACAAGGGAATAAAACCAACTCTGTATGATCCAAGAGTCAAGGAAAGAAAAAGATTAGACATCCGTGGAGTTCAAGTAATGCAAAAGGAATTGGAATCAATTCATCCTCTTATTGGTTTTTCTCATGTCATCCCAAAAAAGCCTGAATTGCTGACTAATATAGACACCAGGTATGGACCAGTGGTCATTGGATCTCCCCTCTCTTTTCATTTAAGTTCTTTGGAGTTCAATTTCACTGTTGTCACTAACCTGGAACCGGCAGTTAACCCTGCTCAAGCAGATTCAAGTGACATTTACAAAGTAAGCTTGCCATTCCATTTCCCAGATTTACCTGAAGCTGTTCATTTCAGTACTGTGCAACAAACATTCATTGAACACTTAAGAGTAACTCACCAAGAAAGTATTGATATTGAGAAAAGGACTGTTAAGCAAAGGGAATGTGATGAGTGGATAAAACACCGCAAAAATAGACTTGGATCATCTGTGTGTCACAGAATATATGTAAGGAAACGAAGTTTCAATAATCTTGCCAAGGAACTTAACCAGCCATTTAAGCCTCTAGATGAAATTCCAGAAATTCAGCAGAGAAAGCTAAAGCATGGCATAAAATTTGAGCCAGTTGCAAGAGAAAAATATTATGATGTCATGAAGCACTATTTGAAGAGGCCAATTACCTTGAGAGAGACAGGAATGGTGATTCCCCTATGCATGTTTTGGCTTGAAGGCAGTCCTGATGGTCTTGTTATTGAGGGAAAGAAGAACCACACCCCAGAGGAGGCAATGCAAAATGAATCGTTTTACATTGAATTAGTTGATGGTAAACCCAACCTGAAGAAAGATCATCACCTAGGATATTACACCCAAGTCCAGCTAGTTCTGGGTTTCTGTGGTTTAGAGTGGGTTGACTTTGTAGTCTATCTATTTAAAGGGATGATCATCACAAGGGTTCCATTTAATAAAGATTATTTTGACCAAGTAGTATGTAAAGTAAACATCTTCTATGTAAAGTGGTTTCTTCCTCAGGTCATGGCCTAAATGCAGTTTAGTATATTGTGCATTGTGCCTGAGCAAACGGTGACATTACAACGTGTACCAGTTTTCCATAGTATCTAGCTTTTAGACTCCTGTTGATGGGTGTTAGGGCTTCAAGGATAAGGTTACTTTGCTTGTTGCAATGTTATTACAGTACAGTAAAAACCTACGTATAAGAACCTAAAATTTAAGAACCTGTTAGGCTAAAATGTTTATTTTAAACCCCCTTTTCATAATAACCTATTTAGCCTAAAATTTTCAATAGGTTAATATTTTACAAAAATGAAACAGATGAAAATACGGAGAAAACTTTTAGTCTAGGTTTCAGTCAGTAAGATTCAAACAATGAACTAAAATGAAAACCATATCATATCTTTGCCAATACTGGATTACACAATGCAATATTATTATTAAGAATACAGATCTCTCTCATATGCCCGAGAGTAGTTATCTGTGCTGATCACTAGTACCCCTATCAAAATTAAGAGCCTGTTTAAGAACCTAATTAGCCCAGAATCCCACTAAATACCATTTCTATAAGAACCTATTTAGGCTAAGTTGGAAAAATCTAGGTTCTTGTATGCATATTTTTACTGTATTTTATTGAAAATATACGAGAAGGAGTATTTCATAGAATTCTTAAAAAAGATGACTTCCATGACAAGAATATTAAAAGTAATTACATGTTCAGCAATTAACAATTTCTGTTCAATTTCTATGAGAGCAATGATTTGCGCAATAATCTCAAGAAAGGTACTGTTTGAAAATCGTGGAAATTCAATTATTGCAAAATATCAATTATTCTAAAAGGGAAAGTGTTTTCATTGACAAAAGAAATGTTAGTTAGTCTTGAAAAAGCGAAAATTCTCCTTCGGTATTTATTCATAAACCAACTTGATCCTTGTAAATCATTGGGCACTTTGAAGGAAATGATGATAAAACCATAACATTATTATTGCTTAATAAGCGGGTCCATAAAGTTGCATAGAAGACAAGCCACTGTCCATATTTGGTTTATGGTCCCATTCATATTTAGTGGAATTTCAGTCTTTAAGACTTTAAATTTCTTAATGCGAGCAATAATACGTTCTACATGGATTCTAACAGAGGCGATTGTTTGACTAAATACAACATCTTCTTTGTCAAGCTGCTCTTTGCCATCAAGAAATGCAGGTATGTTTAACTTAACTCCTAGAGGGTCAAGTAATTCCTGGATTGTAAATCCTCTGTCTGCCATAATTGAATCCCCTTTCTCCCAAAGTTCTGGGTGTAGTATACCACACCTGGAAACTATTTCCTTATCTGACAGCGATCCAGGGTACAACTGACTCACAAAAGTTATAGCTCCAGAAGGACTGATGCCCACTAAAGCTTTGTATGTTACATGGTGCTTATAGTGTGAGTAAAGGGCACTCTGTGTAGTTAGGCTAGAAGGCACTTGTACAAAGATTTCTGTACAGTCAATGATACATCTTGTTGAGGGATAAGTGTCCTTAAAACATATTGGCATGGATGAAACAATCTGATCTTTAGAAGGCCATATGGGAATATTTCCCAAACAGAAGTACAAGTAATTTGACCAGGTGATCAAGTACCGGGAAATGGTTGATTTGCCAAGTCCAAATAACCACGCCAGATGTTTCTGTCCAAATCCACACCTTAACCACACCAAAAACATAAACAATTGTTCAATCACATCCAATTTAGGGCTCACACCAGGCTTACTTCTTTCAGTAAATTTACATTCATCAGGTTCATCTGACCCATTCTTTGAAGGCTCATAGTATTTCAAATTACTAGCATTCTCACCAGGATTTAAAAATTGAAAAAGAATGTCAAACTTAACTGGATGAAAACCAGTGAATGACTTGAAAACGTCTTCTTTTTCTCTGATGTTCTTGGATGTAAACTGTCCTTTTTCCAGTTTTTGTATTTTGGCTTTCAGCTCACTCCAATCTTTTTCAACGTCACTTTTTTGTTTAATCAAAAGTGACAATTTAACCTCCAACTTTTCCACGACTCTTCTCAAATAAGCGCAATTTTCACAGGCCTCTGTCGGTCTTGCATTGTCTTCATTAAGCAACCTAGAGCTTAAATAACATGGTTCTGATTCAGGCTGAATATTTTCTTCATTTTGCTCAGAACATCTCTTTTTTGGTAATTTTCGATTAGGTGTGCTCGCACTTTTATTCCAGCTGAAAATGGAAGGAATAGTAGTCTTGTCTTTCAGATCTTTCCTGCCACTGAATTGTTTTTTAATTTCCTCAGGGCGAAAATGTTGCTCACACACTTTAGTGTATTCCGTCACAACAAATCCGTCTCTGTTTCCTTGTCTTTTAATTGCCAAAAGCCACCGATTCCTACTTTTTGCCTCCAGAGGAAAAGAAAAAAATGAAATATTAGTTCTTTCCCCCTGATTGTTATAAAAGGAACTTTTGCAACCAGGGACACAACAATATTTGCTACGGCCACCGCGCGAAGAAGTGAAGGTGTTGTCCGCCATGTTTGATGTTTGTCCACCCGAGCCTCACTTTCATGTTTTCGCGCGCGTGCTTGTAACGAATGCGGGAATGGTCTATACGGCGAAAATTTTGGTTATATATATATATATTTTTTAACTGTTATATTTTGGCCACGAAATCTTTTCTGAGAGGCTCCGATGATCGCTTATGTAAAATAAAAATGATCGGCGAAATTCGTCAAAATTTTACCGAGGCGAGTGCCTCGGTTGGCCTCATACTAGCTACGGCGCTGAGGAGCCCATCGAGTAAGTTATTATAAAAGCAGTTTTGCTTATTCTTACCACCATATACAGGAAGCGAAACAGAAGATACTGGAAATTGTGTAGAGGCTGCAATTAAATTTTAAAACATTGCATTTGAGTTTAGCATCATTAACTTTGTTTGTCTGTACAACCCTTAACATTTATACACCACAACCTAAAACCACCGGCTCTATCAGTATTTGTGTTACCCAATAACGTTTGACTCTTATTAACCAGTTACATTTGTTCTTGCGTTTTTAATTTGGACCAGATTAAAACCATTATTGCCTGATTCGGTTTTCGTAATATCCGGAATAATCAGCCTTGGCTAATAGCAATTTTCGACTCCTTGATTACTTCTTTTATTACAACAACCGAATCCAATAATTTTTTTTTTTTCAGATTCTAAATTGTTTTGAAGAAAATGACGACAAACACACCGTTGCATGGAACATAATTTGTCATTGCCGGTTTGGAAATCATGCGTTGCGCGATTAGCCCAGACTCTCTAATCTGTAAGTAGATTGCGATGATTTTCAAAATTAAATGTAGGCTCTTAGCCAATGGGAAGATAGATAGTGAGTGCAATGTAATATAAACAAACTTGTTTACATGACACCGGGGTGACTTTCGCAGCAGCGCGAGTTCACTCCGGTTCCCTCTTGTGCCTCTGTATTTGCTTATATGATACCACCACAAAATGTGACGACGGCGCGAGTCTCACCGGCTTGAGTTCACATCGCTTGTTGTACCGGAGCGAGAATTTCACTCCGGTACGAAATTTGTCAACGGTATCATGTAAACGCAGCAACGCGGAACGACCACTCGTGTCGGTGTGAAATCGGTCTACCGCTAGACTGGGACGGGTAGCGTATGCGTAATATTTGCGATTTTGAATCAAAATGAAGTCTACCTTCATATAAAGGCGATATGAAATGGCCCAGTCATCCTGTAAACGCGATACGGAAATAAAGAAGTCATTCCGGGGTGAATCTCGTGCTGGTGCGAGTTTTCTCATGTAAACACCCCCTTAACTAATGAATACCTGGCGAAGCTGTAATGATACTTGGGGCTGGACTTGTTGATAGGGCTAGAGGAACAAAAAAACACCAACAATGCATTAAAGTTTTGTTCCCTAAAGTGACCTTATTTTAGTTAAGTAATTATGTGTGTCCAGGTCTTTGCATTTGGTTAAGTCTGACTTCCTTGTTTTTAAAATCCAGCTTTCCAGACTCTTGCTCTGACTCTTAGTTTGCGGCCGACAAGGGAGTAACCAATCGGCGACACCCAGTTCAGGTTATGACCTGATTTCTCTCCCATGGACGCGAGGTAGCTTGCTCGTGTGACCAGAGGTCCGTTTCGGGAGCTTGATCAAATCGTGACCTCCAGAGACCTATAAGGAAGTACTCCCACCCCCCCTCTCCGGGAGGGTAGACTTTCACAAAAAGTAGTTATATTCTCATACAGACGCTTTCATTTTACGTTTGCTTGCCAATCTGTAAAGACCGCACTTAATAACCATAAACTGATTGGGTCAGCTGAAGAAAACCAATTTTCAACAATTTAAATGTAAAAACTAACGAAATAATGTCCCGACGTTTCGGCGGCCTCATGGCGTCAATATCAAGGAATAATGGAAATGATAAATTTCCTGTCTCCTTCGTCACCGTTTCCGCGAAACAAATCGTATTTGTTTTTAGTTGTTTTTCTTAAGCAACGTCCTTTCGATGAGATTCATATTTTTAGAAAAACTTCTCTATCTAATCAAGAAAGAATCACTATGTACCTTTTTGGCAGGTGAAACTATTTTTAGTACACTAATTTAATATGATGCATATGCTAAAAATGGTAATGAAGATCTCTAATAATAGAAAATGAGCAGAAAATTTCAGTTGTTTTTGAACAATAACACAGCAAGGATCATTAAAAAGAGGAAGAGATTCTACAAAAGAAGTTTTTGAAGCTTTCCGATAAACTCGTAGTTGTGTGTTGTTAAGAAATATAAATACCTCCGATGCACCAAACTGGGAAGTGAAAATTATATTTACCTGTGGACGGGGGAGTTACCGAAGATACAGAGGCTAGAAAATGAATAAATAGATAAATGAATTATTTAAAAGACCTAAATTAATTATTTATGTTCCAATGATCGAACGTCAAATCATAACCATACACCCAACACAACGTTCTGGGAATAGTCAGGCGGCACAGTTTCATTTATGGGGTTTGTTATTTATTCAAAATATTTCCCCAATTCTGATTGGCTAAAAGCACACGCATAATTCACCATAACCAGTTACTGACGACCAAATTTGGAATAATTTTGTGTTTAACGAGGAAATGACGTCAAAAATGCAGCCCGCTACAGGTTAACTCACCGTTACCGAGAAGTCCTGGGGACAAGGTTGAGTTGTTTCGCTAGCTTGTGACAAAAAAAATGGCGGACATTTCACTCGTTTCAAGGGTAAGAACTACAGCCGGAAATAGACGAAACAATAGCTTAAAACATAGCAAAAACAACAAGAAGACAACTCGGAGGGCGACACCTGCTATTTGGAAAATATTTGCGGAGCTGGACAAACCGAAACGTACACTATCGAAGATGAACTTAACATCGATGCAGGTAAGCATGTTTTAGCTATGTTTTTAAACTAGGAATTATTTTGAATGAATAATATAGCAATTAATGAATTCGGCTTTTGTAGGATATGAAGAATTAATCAGATCTCGGAGGCTGTTATCCACCTCGGCCGTCGGCCTCGGTGGGTAACACCCTCCCCGATATGCTTAATTCTTTATTTCCTACTCAGCCTCGTTCATTAATTGCTAAATAATTCATAACGGAAGAAAATGCAAAAGAACTAACAGAATTAATGTACAGTTCCAGTTGAAGTAAATGGTGCAAGAACTCTTTGGATAACAGCTAGAGAGAAAGCAAAGAAAAAAACTTACTTTTATTGTGAGCGCAGTACCGCAGATAACACTGAGGAGGCTTAACTAACCGATACACATAGAAAGCGCCACAGTTTTGGATCTGAATATCGTTTTTCCAGTAACAACAGTTGGAACCCCAATGGTAACAAACTCGACGAGTGACAATGCCTTCTCTTACTGATGGATGTGAACCGTTTAGCCAACCCGGCGCATGCGTACCACAACGCCGTGTTGGTACACAGAATGTTGGTATTCTGATGCCAGCTGCGCCTTTGAAACGATACCAGTGGGTATAACCACCCATGATCAGGTCTCTCTGGTCACATCTCAAGTTCTTTTGATCAGTATTTGCCACATTACGGTCAGAATCCTCAAGAACGAAATAGCTGATGCATGAACGTGCTAAAAAGGAGAAGTGATGAAGATTTTTATTCACTTGATGGAGAAAGCAGGAAGACTTGTATTTCAATTAATACATGTTATTGTAAATAACAAAGAATTTAAAAAAAAATTAGCAAAGGATAAAACGAATGAACTGAAAAACAAATTATGCCAGAATGCTTTTTAACTTTATATTTTTAAAAAAATATTTAAAGAAGCGATTCTAGAGCCTTAAGTTCGGCCCTCAATTTTTGTTTGTTAGTACTTTAAGTCTGCCATTACCTTTTCCTTTAAAAAGCTACCCACTTCCCTTGATGCTAGAGGTTTTGTTTTTTCTAACCTTATTCCTGATAGTTCGCGGCCGAAATGGGAGTAACTAATCGGCGACACTCAGTTCAGATTCTGAACTGATTTCTAGCATGGAAACGAGATTACTTGCGCGAGTGACCAGAGTTCCATTTCGGGAGCCTAATCAAACTGTGAGCACCAGGCGTTTATTTTAACCTACCTATTCCGAGAACAGACCTCTGGAGCTAGGGTAGACTTTCACAAAAATTATTTATAATCTTATACAAACGCTCTAATTTAATTTTCATGCTTGCTTTCCACCCTGTCAAGATCACAACTTAAAAGCCGTTACTGATAGGGTCAGCCAAGAGCCACTATGGCTCTTGGGTCAGCTGAAGAAAAACAATTTTCAACATGCACAATTAAGAAGGGATATATATGGCATAAAATCAGTAGTAAAAAAGCCTGTAAGCGCATCATTCTGAGCTGACTGATCATGAACGCTGTGCACGTTCAGAATGATATCATGATTTCCTTAAGATGGAATAATAAGTCTACTGAGAGCTTTCAGTGATTCAATATTCTGCTAAGGGTGTAAGTGGGGTTATCGCTAAGCTGTTATGGTTAAGCATTGATGGAACCTGATTTTTTTTTGGCACGGAAATGACGAATATAATCATCAAGAAACGTGTTGCATTGGTTTAGTGAACATTGGTACGATCTGATATCAGACTCTCAGCCCGTAAGGCCCGTTTTTATGAAAAACATCAACTACGTTATGAAAATGTACCAGACTCAACGGTCCACCATACCATCCACTCCGTGCAATTACAAGTAGTACTTGGGTTCTCAAGTATTTTATGGCAAATATTCTGTTTTGATAACAATTTATTACCGCATCCTTTTTACAGAGCCGTTCACTGTATTGGCTTCTCCATTATGTTAATTATTCATGTTTCTTGCTTTGATCTTTAAAGAACTACGTTTCCGGTGTTTTCTCTGGCCCAGAGCACAAAGTGTTTCGTAGTTGTGCCAGGGCGTAAGAAAATCGATAAGTTTCGGCCAAAGTGAAAAAGACAATATAAGTTTCACTGCAGCTGTTAAAGTGAGTTATCTCAGTAAATCATGATATCTGACCTCCAACTCGTAAGTGCTCGTTAAGTGTGGCACGAAAACCGTTCTTTAATGGAGCCGAATTAAATTAACCAAAACGATGACTGTACTCGAGCGTCAATTACAGGGGGATATTAATACAAGCATAATTCCGCTGAGGGTAAAGAAGGAGTGAATTTTTGAAATGGCATGTGCAAAAACCTATGGTATGGCCCAATAAAGGCGTAATAAACACAAAACGAATCAAAGAAATATAACTAATAAAAGCAGCCCCCCTTTATGGCACCAATTTACCTGAAGAACAGTTGGTCTTTAAACAGGTTTCTTTAAGGGTGGGACTGTAGGTAGTCGAAGCTTTACAGAAAATGACGTCAGAATTCCGTGTTCAAATAATCGGGGCTTCAATAAGAAAGTAAGTTAAAAGAGTTTTTAAATTAAGGTGTAAACGACTGGAAACTATAAGAGACCGATAAGAAACAGTATATCCTTGACTGAAAGTATATTTTAAAAAAATGCTCCATTTAACCGATTGCGAGAACATTTTAAAATTAAAAAGAATAGGATTTGTACTCTGGGAGTTTCATCTCGAAATTGCCTTCATTGCATATAGAAGCATGCAGAGTTTTGAGTTTCTAATTCACGATCTTTACGCTGCCTCCCGGAGGCCCGGACGCTGACTGCCTTGAGAAAAGGCAACCCAGCTTTCTTTATGTCGAGTTACTCTAGAGAAAAATCGTTTCAACCGGGAGAGAGGAGGTTTCATCAAGGCGAATGGTTCAGTCCGTGCAAGTATGACCGTCGTCACGTCTTGTTTGATGACTTTAAAGATGGCGGTCAATGTCAGTCTCCGAAGGGATTGCTAAACTATAGTAAGCTTTAACTTGATAACGGCACTATTCTATCTCTTAGTAAATCTTAAGACAGTGTCAGACTTTCAGCCCGTAACCGCTTCTTAAGTGTTGC